TTCATACTGAACAAGTAAATAAATATGAAATCGTACTTACCCAATATCAACTTGTGGATGAAAACTCCATGGAATTCCTGCTGCTCGTGTTTGATGTGCAACTATTCGACCAATTTCACGTACTAATGTCGTATTAAATGTTGCTGCAAGGCCAGTTGCTTGTGGAAATAAAACAGCATTTTGAATATAATTAGCACCATGAATCGAATCAATACCATATATAACTGGAATACGTAAACGAGTTTTGTTTGCTTCATCTTGTATTTTTCCTGTAATAGTATGCCATTGAGCAAGACCATAAGCACCTGTTTCAGCTACATTTAAAATAGAACCTACTTTATAGTCTTGTATAGCTGTAGCTAATTTGACAGGATCAACTTCAATTTCAAGTGGTGGTTTACTTGGATCTTTTAATATTAAATTAATAGTGATTTGTGTCATTTGACCAACTTTTTCTTCATCCGTCATTTTACTTAATAAAGCATTTACTTGATCATCATAGCTTGTTAATGATGGAGGTGCCATTTGGCTAATATGTATATTGAAAATAAAAACTAATAAGAGTACGAATAAACTCATCATGTAAAGTCTAAATGAACTGAAATAAATCTTATTTTTGTTATAAACTGCATTTATATACGATGCACATAACACAAAACTAGAGTAGATTTTATTTTTCATTCATTTAAATATGGTTTGATAGAGCTTCACCGCCAGGTGACAAATATATATCCTTTATTTCAATTATGTTATTTCTTCGTTGCAAATAAAGCTTGAAATACTTATAAGATCATAGATACAAGCAAAACTACCTTTTTTCTCAAAACAACTGTTGAGTTTCTATAATACTTTTTCTAAATCCTTAGAAAACAGTCTTTTTCGAATTCAGCATCAAAAACTAAGTAAAAAAATGTTATTTTTTTAGAATAAAAAAATTACGTAAAAAACTGTTTTTGATATATGCAGACTTATAACATGTGTTTACAGGCACCTATATAGTTTTATGTGATAGAAGATAAGACTAAATGTCTTATCTCATTTGACTCAGCTGATTTCGAGCTACATAGTGACCCTTTTATGTTTTTTTAGATTTTGTTTTATTGTTGAGAAAATCAAATGTTTTCTTGTTTTTGGGAGTAAAAGGGCCACAAATGACCTTGTTTCTTGCAGTTCTTACGAGGAAAGATTTCCAAGTGATAAGTCATTTTTTATACTGGTGCTGCATTCAATATATAGGATCTAGTGAATAAGTATATACTCTAAAGTGATTCGAGCTGCTGGATCTTTGCTGTTGAGATTTCAAATTGTTAGTCGCTTTTTCCTATAGGAACCTAGTTGTCAAGTTAAATTATACTTTTGAATTTTATCCACATAACGATATCTATTAGACTAGCTTATAAAATAAAATGCAAGGTTTTTCCAACAAGTGTCTTTAAGATATGAATTTGTTAAAATATAGGCATTTTGCCATGATTATTGTAAAAATCATAAATATTTTAAAAAATTCATATCTTGGAGATACTTGGTCAAAAAATTCTGAAATTTTCTTCACAAACTAGTCTAATGGATACTTTTGTGTACGAAAAGTTTCAGGTCAAAATTCAAAAGTACAATTTCGCTTGACAACTGGCGTCCTACAGGAAAAATCCACTAAACATTCAAAATCTCAGCAGCAAAGGTCCAACAACTCGAACTATACTAAGGTATTTACCTAATCGCTATGCCATATCGATTGAATATAGTCCCAACTTGAAAGCATTTTATCACTTGAGGACCTTTTACTCTTCAACTAAAACAAAACAGCATATTTACAATCAACCTGAAAATCTACACTAGATCACATATATTTTAGCAAAATCACTCTTTCATGAAAAATACACTTGCACTCCACTTTCGTATTTTTCTTTGAAAACTTCATCTGTGATCCTTCTGCAGTCGGTTTTTCATATGATACGGAATTCGCTGAAATATATATGGTCTTGATATAGATTTGCACGCTGTTTCTGTATATGCTGTTTATTTTGTTTCTCAACTAGGATGTGTCACTTTAGCTTAAAAAAAACAAAGTTAAAGTAAGTATGTTCAATTGCTTTCGGTAATCATTGTTGACTTCTTCCTTAACAGAATCTTTGTATTCTAAAGAAATCATTTCTTGCAGTTCTCTCTCATATGAACCGAACAAGACTATGTTTTACCCTTATAGTAGTAGAGAAAAAACGTTAAGTGAAATCTAACTAGTCGAGAACATTTTCGATGAACCGATCAGATTCAAGCAAGCTGTTTCTCCCTTATTGTAATGATAAAACATATTATTGTTCGGTTCATATGAGAGAGAACGATAAAAAATGATTTCTTTAAAATACAAAAATTCTGTTAAGGAAGAAATCAACAATGATTATCAACAGCAATTGAACATATCTACTGTAACTTTAACTTTTAGAGTAAAGTATATTGATAACAGTTTTTTATGCTGACTTAGGAAAAGAACTTATTGTCAAAGAGTTTAGAAAGAAGATCTTAGAAACTCAAAAGTTGTTTTGAGAGAAAAGCGATTTTGATAATATGTGTGATATTATGAGTATCTAAAGCTTTTTGCAAGGTGAGATAATCTAATTAAAATAAAAGGTATATATTCGTAACCAGCTCGTTAAGCTCTTCAAGGTGGCACAAAAGTAAAAAAGCACAAATCTTTTTTGATTTCTTCTTGGCACTTGATCTGTTAGGTCTCATATTTATTAGACATATACTAGGTTACACTGGTCAAAAATATAGCATATAATTAGTCTTTGGGTGCAACAATTTGTTCAAAAACGCACAAATAAATCTTACTACTCGTCTATGATTGTATGAGAAATTAGATGCTCTTCGATTTCCATAGCTTCGTCTGTTTATCTCGATCTGTGAAACGAGTTTCGCTTAACTAATGCTGCCCTTTTTTTTTTTAGGCTGAATCAATACAAAATATAACTTAATTGAGTTCATTTCATAGATCGAGATAAACAAACTAGACTATGGATATCGAAGAACATCAAATTTCTCATACAATCAGAAACGATTAGTAAGATTTATTTGTATGCTTTTGAACATATTGTTGCATCCCAAGAATGATCATATGCTATATATTTGACTAGTGTAACCTTGTACATGTCTAATAAATATGAGGCCTAACTGACAACGTACAAAGAAGAAATTGAAAAGGTTTGTGTTCCCTTACTTTTAGACCATTCTGTATTAAACCATATATAAATCAATGACAAACTAAAACTTACTTGAATTTTGCGTTGTTTGCACCTTAAAATCAGCAAAAGATTCATGCGCAGTCAATGTCGTTAGATATCTTTTTTATTATTAACACTTCAAGACACTATCTTATGTGTATTTATAGATAAGTTTTTTATTGGTCTAAAATGTGATACTTAAGAAGATTGATGTACAAGCCGAGAAACTCAATAAGTTATTATTGACAAAAGAAAAGGTACATCGAGAATGATCTTTTTCTCCCTATAATTATAAGAACATGAATAAGAATATTATTTATTCATGCTTATTAGATGCATATGATATTTACTGTAACCTATGTAGTCGTTTATTTTGATAGGATAATGTTATGCATAGAAAATAGTATAATAGATAATATCATTCGAAAGATCAAATAAGGAATCTAATTTTGAATCAGTCAAAGCTGTAAATCACATAATAATACTTGAGTAAAGTGAGCTAAATAAGTATATCATATATTTAAAATCGATGTAAAACATAAGATTTTCAAGAATTTAAGTGTATAATTTACTACATGATAACGTCATATAACTATTTTATAAAGTATGAAAAAAACAGATTTTATTATTCAAAAATTTTCTCTAAAAGCATCGATAAGAAAAAAGGGTTTGTTAATGTATTTCTTCAGCAATAGTAGACAACGACCATTTATTTAACACATCGAGACAATGGTATACCATTTATAAAGCTGTCGCTCTTCATTGACTGATTTTCATATACTCATAGAATTTAGAAAAAAATATTACATGATTTCATCTACGAAAACATCAGACAAAAAATTAGAGTCCTACGAAATTTTGTTTTTCATTACTCCGCCTTTGAAATATTGGACTTATAAAATCGATAATTTAGAAAAAAAGGAAACTATCGTATTTTTCGAAACGGAATGTTTTCTACTAATACTCAATAAAGATCTTTCGAAATTTGTGTGATAGAAATCGACGAAGGAACCCACTAGTAAGTTAAATATATTTCGAAAGCTTCACGATAACTCGTTGAACTACACATACTAAGACATACGATTGATGATGGAGCTGTTCTTGGGCAAACAAGAACAAAGTAAAAATATGTGGTGTAAACCTCAACTCATGAAAACTTCAAATAGTATTTATTATGAACTCAATGTCTTTGCAATTTAGAAAGCGGCTCAAAGCAAAGTAGATGTTAATTTAACAAAATTGCATCAAAAACACATTAGTTTTTATCGGTTCACTACTTTTTGTATTACTACAAAAATATGGAATTGATATTGCTTTCGCCCACTCAATAATGTGATCAACGAAAAAATAATCAAGACTTAATATGTCGTTAAATTTTCTTCTCTATCATGCGGTCATTGAACGCATCAAATGACCTAACATAAAGATATAGATACTCAATGGGGTCAGACCACATCATTTGCATATTAGACAGACCAATACTCTAGTCATAAAGTTATTTTATCAGTAGCTCTTCTGGAACTACTCTGCACAGTAAAGGATTAAAGTATACTGATTATATCGTCAGGTGAATAAATGAGGACAAATTTCACTTCACGCAGAGAGATTACACAAGACACTGTAAATCACAAAGGCTCATGTTATTGAAAAGAGAAATTTCTACATTCCATTTCAAGCTGAACTTTAGTTTATATAAGTATTCAAATTTATTAGAAAAAATTTGTTAGTAGTCGTCATCACATAAATGTAAAAATAGCTAAACAAGGCATTAATATCAACTAGTTACCTAGTTTTCTTTTCCGTCGATATATTATAATTGAACGTCATCACAGGATCAGCAAAATTACAATTTTCCGTTGATGATTTATAATTCAACATAATCACAGCATCAGTAAATGCTTGATCAGCAAAATCACAAATAACAACATTAACACCATTGATTAATGATGGATCACGTTTATGATACGATAACCATTCAATTAATCTTCTATTTGTTTCTTTTGCAACAGTAATAAGTGAACTAAATGGATTCTTTCGAATACTCGAATTGTCAGGTGTTATTTGTCCTTGAATAACATTAACACAAGTTATCAGTCGAGGTTTTGATACGGTTTCATTAAGAAATAAAAATAGTTCGTCAACACTTGATGTATTTGGCCATGGTGATTGACAAATCTATTTTAAATCAATCAAAATATTTTTCTAGAAAAATTTACATTCACGTCGTCTTTTGTTTTTCTTTCTCGTTACCTGAAAGAAATGTCCAATACGGTCCATATAAGCTGTACATTGATCATGGTTTCGTTCATAAAGCAAAATAACTTGTTGTTTATTATTCCATAAATAATTTAATGTACATTCAGTTATTTTCCGAGCTGTTGTACAAAGTTTCTTTCCATATATTTCATGTACAAAATGTATTAACTGATCATGACCACATTGTTCATTAAACTCATAAAAATGATTAAAATCAAGTAAAATTATTTCTTTTGGATGTGTATTTAAAAATTCATTGATTTCTTCTAAACCTTCACGAACTAAATTACCTAATAAACCATGTGTAAATGTGAATGGTGATGTTGAACATAAATTTTTATCTGTTGTACGGCAAACACGTAAATCAAAATAACGAATACCCATATAGAGTTGTTCTATTTAGATAAATTTTTTAGAGAAAAAAAAATTAGGTCTTTTTTTAAGATGAACTTTCAATACCGATAAAATTTTTATTTTGTGTAATACTCCAATTTTTAATAAGAGGATTAATAAGAAAAGAAAAGCGTCGTAAATTTGGATTCAAATCAGGTCCCACTTGGCTGGTTAAATGATATGCAAATGAATCATGTGTACCTGTTATATAAATGAAAATCAATTCTATGATTTGTTTGTCATTCTACCGGGTATAGCGATTTTAGTGATTGGCTCATCATGAAGTTCTTCTGGTAAATTTGTCATCCATTCATCATGTTTTAATTGTGATGACAATTGAGAATTTGGCGTACAAGTACTAGTGGCCATGATATGATGTTTTCAGATCAAGCAAATATCTGAATAGAATTATTTTTATCAAAAAATTGATTAGTGGCTGAATAAGATTTTATTTAAAAAAAATATATATACATAGAAGTGCCTAATAACTTCAGATATCCACTCGTTGTTTTTTTTCCTTGTAATCTCGATCATATATCATAAGAGTATGGTATTTTTTATCAATTATAGTACATTCATAATGTTAATTATTTATTATTGTTCGGACATCATCTCATGTAAATAAAGAGATTTATGGGTATTGATGAAAAACGTTCTGACTAATTGTGAACTCTATTTTACTTGGGATGTGTACTAGTTGATACAGCTTAAAATTCTCAGTCTATTGGATTCCACATTGACTCGAAGTCTCAAGAAAATAAATGTTTCGAAAATGAAGTTAAATGTAGCTCTACTAAATATTTTGAAGTGATTAAAATCATCGGGCATTCATTACAACTTCAACTAACGTCATTTTCTTAAATATTTATTTGTTTGAGCTTTTAGCTCAGAATGTATTTTACTAATACTCGAAATTGTTTTTTAGATTTTTTTCAACTCTTTTGGTCAAGGATGTATCCGTGATTAAAAGATTCTAATATCTCGATAAATAAATCTCTTTATTTTCAAGTAACAGAGCGTGAACAACAACAAATGATCAACATTATCGATAGACCGTAATTAATACAAAAAAAAAGATGTTGAGACTATACAAAAAGAAAAACTAATAATTTGAATATCCTGGCTGATTGAACATTTCCATATAGATATTGCAAGTCTTCACATTAAATATTCTTATTTAAATTTGGGTGCACTACGATCATTTATTTTCGTTTGTTTCAATTTCGATAAATTAAAATCTAAAATTGAATTTAACAATTGCGTTCGAGTATCATTGACAACTGCTGGCTGAGGCGAAGGTGATGTTTCGGGAATATTAGGTGTATCAACACTGATATTTGGTGATAAAGGTTTGTTAGATATTGTTGTGTCTTTTGTTGTTTGTAATGGATCAATAGTAATCGAATTTTGAAGACTTCCTATAGAAAATAATTAAAAACAAAAATGTTTTTATAAAAGAACAAAGAAGTTTGTTTTTTCCTTTAACCGAATTATTTAAAACAAAAAATATGCAGCAATAAAAAGCTAGCTGATAAATGAAGAAAATCTTAACCGAATATTAGCTAATATCTCTTATTGTTATAAAAGAAGCTATTTATAAGGAAATCAATGGAAAGAAATTGATGATGAAAGCGTATATGAAATGTGTTAGTTGGATGATATTATTCGACCTTCTTTTAAAGAAAAGGAACATATAAAAGACCAAATGGGCCTATTAGTATTTTTCTTGACCAACTCCATTGAATCATATATCAACGGAAAAAATATGTTAAAAGCAATATTTTTGTATTAGTTTCATGAGATTTTGATTGAATTTTGAAGCCTAAATCTAGAAACAAAGTGCAGCATTTTCGGTCATTATTCTAATAGTCTATCCTATCACGATGGATTCAATTTGAGAATAAGCAGACAATGTAAGATACCATTGAAATTATAAATCTCATAACTCTTAGATAATGTTTCAAACCAATATATAAATCACTGTTTAATATGACGAGATGTAGACTCGAAGTGCTAGTAGACACTATTACCATATTTACAATTTTTTTTTATCGATCCTTATCTTTCGACAAATATTTTAATTTAAAAATTGAAATGAATAAAACTCTGGCATTACTAATTTGATTGTCCTTTTAAAGTTACAAAATCATATATTTTCCAAAGTCAAAAAAGAATCTGGTCAATTGAAAAATTCCTTAACACACTCTTCTCTAGGCGCAGTTTCGTGTGTTCATCAATATTTAGAAAATTTCAATTTCAGTGACAACTAACATGATATTCAGAACCACCACAAAAAAGACCAAATTGGTCTATATTGGATTTAAAGAATTTCTGAAACTTTGTTTTTCATCGAAAAATTCACCTCTGCTCATTCTCAGGAACCAGATGAAAAAATGAAACACAGCAAATCCCCATTTGAATATTATACAGAAACCTTGAAAGATGTTGAAGGCTATTAGGTAGCAAAATGGTAGATATTTAGAAAATAAAAGCAAGGCTTATGTTGAGTCCATTTTTTATGTAGCTTCTGAAGGGAACCAGGGGTAAAGTTTGTGACGAGAAAAAAAAGTTCTAGAAAATCTTCGAATCATACATAGACTAACTTAGTTTGTTTTATGTTGATTTCGAATATCATATTAGTTTGCACTCAAATTGAACTTTTCTAATCGAAATCTAAATATTGATGAAGAACATGCAAAATTGTGCCCCGAAAAGAGTGTAATAAGGAATTTTTGTAAGTGACCAGTTTTTGTTTTTCGCCTTAGAAAATATATGATTTTGTAGCTTTTCAAAAGGACTATTAAATGAGCATTACCATAATTTTGATCATTTCAATTTGTAAATTAAGTTATTAAAAGATAAGAGTCATCCATAAATATAGCAAATATGCTAATAGTATCAGCTAGTAAACTGAACCTACATTTTATTAAATTATATGTTGATTTGTACATGGGATTGATGCATCACCAAAGAGCTAAGAAATTCATCATTTCAATGTTATTTTGTGTTGTCTGCTTAGTTTCAAACGAAGTCCATCGTGATAGAATCGACTATTAGAATAATGACAGAAAATACGTTACTTTGTCTATAGATTTCGGATTCAAAATTCGATTAAAACCTCATGAAATTAGTACTAAAATATTGGTCTCAACATACTGTTTCCTTTAATATATAATTCAATGGACATGGTTAATTTATGCTTTTATGTGCCCCTGTCCTTTTATATCAACATATTTTGAAAAGAACTGTTTAAACTTGCAATTGTTAGATTCTTAAGCAGCTTTTCTAATATGAACACACTACGGTTCATGTACAATTATAAGAGACAAATAAACTAATGTAAATAACATTACCACAATCAAAAGATATATTCACATCCTATTTTTTAGTGTGATTTGAACACACTGTATGAAAGAAAAAGTTAAGATATTTGTATTTCTCTGGCAAACAACATACTTGATGTATCTGTAGTACTAAAACTATCTTCCATTTTTTTTCCAAGTGCTTTTGCCTGAAAGAAATAATATGTATAGATTTGAAGTAAAAAATTGTTTAATATTGACTTGTCTTTCTCGACGTCGGCGAAGTTTTTCTTCATTTGACATAAGATGATTAGAAATTTTTAAATGACGTTGAGCAGATTTAATCTAAATAAAATAAATTAAAGATTTTCCTTTCTTTGCTTTTTAATTTAAGTTAAAATTACTTTGATTTGATCATTTTCTAATCTTTCTTGAGCTATTCGACTAATTTGTTCGAATGCTTCTTTTGCTTTGATATTTAATTTTAATTGAAATCGATCGAAACAATTTGATAATGTTGCTTGAAAAAACCTAAATTATGAATATTTTTTATTCAATAGAAAAATATATATAAAATTAAAACACTACGGTTCATTTAAAAGTTGTTGTATTGTTGGTAAATTTCCTGATGATATAAAAATTTTTGAAATAATTTCTTGAACAGGAAATGGAATTATTGACGAAAATTCTGTATATAAACTTATTGGACATTCTTCACCGGTTGATAACTCATATAATAAACGTCCAAATGCATATATATCACATTGTTCAAACGTCTAAAACAAAACACAGTTTATATTTTAATTTCGGGTATTTGTGTTGATTGTTTACTAACATGAATATGTTTCAGATTAGAATAATAGCATCGATATTTTGATGAAACACCTGCTATAGCATTGGTTATATCAAGTAATTTTATTGATTGAGATTGATCATAATCAAATAAAATATTTCCTGAATGTAAATGTCCATAAACAAGATTATTTTCATAGAGAAAATTAAGTCCTTCTAAAATCTGACGACCTAAGATTTTTATTTGATGTAAATCACATTGTCTTGATGATGATGTTGGACCATATCGTTTCCAATACACACCATTAGCTGGTTTTGTCTATGAGTAATTTTCAACAAGATAGAATTCAAAAATCATTCAATACAACAAAAGTCATGGCACAAAATATTCGCTCGTTTTTCGGATACTAAAAGACAATCGGTTAGAATTAGAGTTTTTCGCCATTTCGAAATCTATGTTGAGATTTTCGTTCTAGGGTAAGATTGAATCGCAATCAGTAAATTTTGTGAGAAAGTTCAAAATTGTGTCTATATTATAGCTGTCAGTCTGGCAGGCTAATGTGTGTTGACCTGTGCGGAATGTAATATTATTTTCCCTAGTATAACTTGAAACAGAAGATGGAGCCAAAAGCTCATGATTTTGTCAGGATATGAATGTGGTTCATCCCTTTACACATAGTCACTTACACCCTTTTAACCTCTTCATTGTATGTCTGATCATGTATTATTCATAATTACATTTTTTCGATTATGTGAAATAATGCAGATATATTCAAAAAAAAAACATTTCGATAAATCTCGTGTTTTTTTTTGTATGGAAAATATTTTTAATGATTTATTTTTTTCTTTTAATTCACTATTTTGTTCAAGAATTGATCATTATACTATTTTCATGAAAATAAGTTAAATGTATAAATCAAACTACTAGAATGAGGCACTATAATAAGGTTATAAAACTTAGTGAATTCAAAAAAGTAAAATCATCAGTCGATCTGCTTTGCTTTGCAGGCCGAAGAAAAGTGACCTGTTGACAGCTCGGATTTACTGAAAAATGGAGAAACGAAATATTTTTAATAATACTAATGACAAGAAGAATTTTATTCAGTCATCTGACATAAGATAATAGAAAAGAAAAAGTTAAGTTTATAAATTTTAGCTCCGCTTTTTTTTTGAAGGTATAGCTAGAAGTCTTTTCTTTACTCACATACATATCTACACACCCACCTGTTCTGATCTATACAAAACAAAACAGCTGCTTTAATGTAGTTCTTAGTTTCTGTTTTGAAACAGCTTCAACACAATAGTATTATAGAGCACTAAATTCTGTAAAAAATGATATTTTACCATAAGTAAAATCTCATTCATGCATTTCTACTAAAGAGCTAGTTTTCTACGAAAATCGGCATCGGTAAAAAACAACTCGTTTCTAAAAGTGTAAAAGTAAATAGCATTCTTTGTGACTAAGCAATTAAAAAATTTTCCTCATTCTAAATTTGATAGGTTTCAATCGCAATAGAAAATTGTCTAAATAGTATTCTATACAATCACTATTTTGAACATTATGAAACAACTTGATGATAGTTGTCTAATCTTACCTTCGATGGACATTCTAAAAACATATTCGGACAGAGCGAAAAAATCTGATTCTAATTAACTACTTCTGACTCCAAACCAGCTTTTTTTAAGTAACAAAAAAAACTGAATGAATATATTATGCCAAGACTTCCATGCCATAAGTTAATTACCCGATGAATATAATCTTTCAATGATCCTTTGTTATAAAATGGACAGACAGTTAATGTACCACTTTCATTTGCATAAACTTCTTCAATTGGAACAATCAGTGGATGCTAAAAGAAAATATAAGATTTCACAAAAATCCTTCGAAATAAATACATACTGAAATCGATTTAAATAATTTTAAACAACTCATAATTTCTTTTTCTCCAAGTGCTTTATCTAAACCATAATGACACTACAAACAAAAAATGTATTTATTTATTTTTTCAAAAGAATCTTCATTACCCATATTAATAAATAACGTTCATTTTTCGAACATCCTGGTTTTGATGCAAGAAAATAACTTTTATTATGTCGCCACCCTTTAAAAACACGAAACAAAGAAATAATTTAATTCGACATATCATATTATTCTACCGAAATCAAAAAGTGGTTCAATTATTTGATATATATTATTCGTCGAACGAATAAACATTGATACATATTGTAATGCTGATTCTAAAACAAAAAAAAAATGATTAAAAAAAAAACGTCGTTTTTTTTCTTTTACAATACCAGGATAATTAATAATATGATTATCTGGATCTAGAAAACGATGAACTAATAATGAATTGCAAAGTTCTATATTTTGCACGAGTGTATTAAGATAGATCTAAATTTTAATAATTATTATTTCGAAAAAAAAAAATTTTTTTTATAACATACCTGAAGACCTTTTTGTCTTTCAGCCATAAATATTCGATCAGTATTACCTAGAAATTTTTTCTTTGGTAATTCAAAATTAAATCCATATTCTTTTAATGTATTATTAAGATCAACAAATTCTCGAAAACGTTTTGTTATTATCCATGAAGATGATGGATCATTTGATATACGTGTAACTCGAATAGAATATTCCTAAGTTTAGTTTTAAAATAAATATTTATTAAGAAAAAAACAAAAAAAAAAAATTTCATATCTTACCCCGTGTCCATCGACAACATACGAACTTTCAATAATGCATGTCATTGGAAGTGTTGCATCGATAGGTGATTGTATATTGGTGGCTCTTTGGGGGACAATTAACAGAGCCATTTATATCCTATTTTTATACCATCTGTCTATAAATATAAAACGTTTAATATCATCCTTTTTTTTTTGTATTCTGTTTCTATCTTTCTACTCATGTTGCCTCAATCAAAGTAATGTAAGAGAAATAAAGATAAAACTAGACATTAAAAATATTCTAGTGTTCTTATATAGAGTGGAGAGGAGGCTGAAATGAATGCAGGAAAGAAAGAAAAAGGAAACATTTGCTATTACTTTTTCGTGATAATATGCGCAAAATAATATTTTGACGTATAGCTTTACAATTAATACTTTATGAACAAAGAAACTAGAAGAATATCATAATAAGTTTATATATAACCTTTTTTTCTAAAAATAAAACCCGCCTTGTTATTCTCATATTATTATTTTTTATTTTAATTATTTATTTATTGTTGTCCTCATGGGTCCCATACGAAACACTCTTAAAAACAATCATTTTATATTATCCATCAATATCAACAGTTCCGAAAGAGATAACCATGATGTCTATCCTACAATCGATAAACAATATTCAACGGATAAAACTCAACGAACACCAAGTAAAATTAATAATAATATTCCTACTAAAACTGATGAAGACAATTCTGAGCATGATGATTGTTTTGTAAAATATGATTTTGTTTCATCATCTGAAGAAAAAAATAAACGAATAAATAAACGAAATCAAAAAGAAGAAACATCTAAAACACAAACAGAAGAAGAAATTGAAAATGATCAAGATCAACCAGTATATTCAGTTGAAGAAATCAATGCTATAACAACACTTATTCTCTATGATACTTTTTCAAAAAAACATAGCTTAAAATTTAATCCAAAATATCACGTAAGTAAAAATCTTGAAGATAAAAATTCGATCATAAAAAATTTATTGACAAATATCTAGAATACATCTCCAAATTATTTTTTTGATATTATCGATCGATTTGATGCTATTTATTCATGTCTAAATGATAAAAATTTATTAATACAAAATCAAAATTTAAAAAAATCTAATCTTCTACAAAATTATTTAAGTGATCGTTTTGTTACTCTACCAAATATAAATGAATTAAAAAATTTTCAACAAAATGAACAAATACGTGTTTATAAAGAAAAACAAACAGTTCTTAATCGAGTACCATTTATTCCAAATATTTTATCCTATCAACGAACATGTCCTTATTATAATCTTAATCAATGGAAAAAAATTCGAGATCAACTTAGTTAGAAGAAATTTTCAAATTTAAAAAAACAAAAAGAAAAGAAATTTCTTATTGTTGTCTGAGTAACCATTAAAAAAAAATAAAATCTTAATTTCTTTAAATCTTTAATAGTAATTTGTTTATTCTCTTCTTAAATACCGAGTTTGTAATGAACGAACGATTAAAAACAAGAAAACAACGACAACTAGATAAGAATAAAAAACTAAAAAGAAATTTTATTTACATTAATAATCTATCAAATTCATCTAATGAACAACAAACATCACTTAAACGTCTTTCAAATAATTCAAAATCATATAAAAAAAATCGTTTAACAGAATTATTTTTTCCTACTCGTTCACGTATTAAACTTCATCAATCTCAATTATCAACAAATAAACAAATAAATTCACCTTTAAATGAACAAGTTGCAAAATTAAATCAACGTGCTGTTGATGTTAGAAATGGTATTGAACAAAGTCTATCATCATTACATACTCAACGTTTACAATATTTAACAAGTTTAAATGAAAAAACACGTGATCTTGAAAAAGCAGCCGCAGCTTTTGAATATTCATCATCAAAACATCTTGAACAAGAACTTAATAAAACAAAAAAATTATCATATGTATTTAAAATAGCTATTACTATATGTCTTACACTATTTTCATTTATGATCGGCTATATGATTATTCAACTAACACGAGATAGAGGAACAAGATGATTTCATAATATTGATATTTCCTTCAGTCAGATAGGAAAATTTGAGGGTTATTTTTTGTTGTTGTTTTTTAATATGAAAAAAATAATAAATTTTAAAATTTTTAGTAATCGACATTGAGGGTACAATATATATATATATATATATATAGTAAGAGAAGAATAAATCTTATTCAAAATAAAACTTCTCTCCCACCTACAAAGGATTATCATCTAATCAAAGAGAAACCCTAAGTATTCAATCCCTACTTCACCTTTTCTATCATCAAATAATAATACACAGATCATTTGTTGAAATATTTATATTTAAGGATAGATATAATAAGACAAATTCGCTTTTACACACACACACGCACGCACGCACGCACGATTGAACAGAGAAATGTACATAATACAAACAAGACGTACACAAAAAAAAAAAAAGAGATGCGCTTTTTCTTCTACAGAAGGTTAAATCCAATTTTATTCATTATGTTTCTCCGGAAAACTCGTCGCACATAATTTTCCTTAATAAGCTGCGTTTTTTTCTCGGAATGTTCAATGAACGACGCATAAAATGAAATATTAGTGAAAAAAAAAAACAATGAGGATATAGACAAAAGAAAAAAAAAACAAAATTTTCAACAACGATGTTCTTCTTTAAATTTTTCTTTTTGTACTGTTTTTCGCCCTGACACACACAAGAGTATTCTACATAGTAAAAAAAAGAGGGAAGGGAAAAATATCTCCTCATTCAATGAATCCACACTAAAAAAAAACAAGAACACAAACTAAGTAAATGAAATGAGATTTTTCTTATCAGAATGTTTCATATGTATATACGTATATATAATTTTGTGTTCAGCAAATGTTCATGAATCGTTAACCAACACCAGGAAAATGATAATCATCATTATTTAAACTATTAGGTGTTTTATCAAATTTTTTTACTTCCTCTTGCATTGATTCTTTTAATTTTAATATAGCATTTGTATCATTTACTTGATCTTCACCATAATTAAAATTTGCTACATCAGATGGCGGAGGTTGTGTTTGTTGTTGTTGGCCAGGTGATTGTTTCATTTGTGGCTCATAATCACCTAAGAAATACATTCTTTTAAATAGACAAAAAAAAGATCTCTCGGCACACTCTCTACAAGATTAAAATATCAAATACGATGTAGCCGCTGCTGCTAACAACAGATTGCTTTATTCTATCTATTTTGCGGCACATTTCTTCAGCATCCTTTTACTTAATCTTTCAGAAATGCAACAAGAAAGGAGTTTATATATTAGAACGAGAAACTATTGATACACGGTCTGTTATCATATGTCAACAATGTCTGCCACAGTCTCTGATTAGTGCATGTTACAATTTGTAATGGTCTCTGACTAGCGTTTTTCAGGATCTTTAGATAGCACCTGTCATGGTCTGTAGGAGAGTTTCAATTTTTACGTCTGTACTCAGCTCCTGTTAACTTATGTTTCAGAAATCATTTTTCAAATAAATACCATTTATTGAGCCATGATGAGACATATCAGGTGGCATTGATGACATATGGGTCAGATGTGGATCGTGATACTTGATAAAATAAAATGATGAGATATATTTGAATAAGAAAAATTTTGTTTACCATTGGATTGGGTCCTGGAGGCATTCCACTAGACATATTTCTCATAGCATAAGGTGGCATTTCTCCACCATTTGAATCTTGAGGACTTGGCATCATTGGTGTGTTTGGTGCATGTCCCGTTGGGCATGGAGTCTAAATAATAGTTATATTTTTATTTGACAAAAAAAAAATTTTTTAATGTAATTTCTATAATAATATTTTAGTTAGAGAAGAGATAAAGAGTCGACAGACGCCGCAGAACTAATACTTTATGTCTAACAAAGATACGCAGTATTTTACAAAAAATATATTGAAATACATACCCCATAAGGAACGGGTGATGATGAAGAATAACCTCCAACCTATAAATATGAAATAGTAAATCGAATAAATATAATTTGAATAAAATTACTCCTGGTGAATTTGTCATAAACATTCGTGGTCCAGTTTGACTCATTGATGGTGACATTGCTGGTGGCATACCTTGAGGTCGATATGCATTTGGAGGTGGTGGTCCACCTGGACCTGTATGACCCATTGGATTTGGCGGTAATCGAGTACCTGGTGATGTCATACGTAAACCTAAATTTCAAAATTTTATTTTTTCTTACATACAAAAATATATAGTTACCATTTCGACCAGCATCCATTTGTGGTGGCATTAAAGCTCCACCGTTTGGTCCACCCTACATATAAAAATGAATAATACAACTTGACTTTATATTCTTCTTACTGAATAATCTGGTTGAGATGGCATACGAACAAGTGAACGTGGAGGTGCATTTGGATAACGTGGATACTAAAAAAATGTTCCTTTTTTTTTGTTTTTCGAAACAAATAAAAATTCAAATCTTACTTGACTCATCATTTGTTGTCCCGGTGGCTATAAAAATAAAAATAAATAATTCATTTTTTTTTAAATAATTTATTACTCACGGCAAAAAATGGTACATTTGGATTATGCATTCCTTCACCGACATTCATTGGCATCGGTGGTGGAGCATTGGGATTTGTATTTGGCTAAAAAAAGCAAGAAAAGTAATAATGAACAAAAAAAAAATTTCAATAGAATCATTTTTTTTATACTTGAGGAGGAATACCATTTGGAGCATAATTGGAATTAATAAAACCCTAACAACAACAAAATTTTATTTTATAAATCGAAAATCAGTAAATTTTACATAATCATGAAATGCTTTTGCTTCTTCTGAATGAGGATGTTGATCTCGACGTTCTGGCGCTGCACTGTATAAATCCCAAAAGACACTAAAACAATAGGATTATCTCAATAGTAAACTTTCCATGAATTTTACTTACCACCACCAGCTAAATAAAAATCCTGGAGCTTCACCAAGTGACATTTTATTCGGTTCCCATTTCATCTATTTAGATACATTATAAAATAACATTCAAATATATTCAAAAAACATTCTTACGTCCGCACAAAATCCCTGAGCCGCTTTTGCTGCACCAATATGGTACAAATATTCATAAACGTATAAATTCAATCTAAATAATAAGCATTAGAAAAATAAAAATAAAAGCAAAAAAAATAAAAAGTATACTTTTCTTTCGCATGCATATCAGATGGAGCATTAACACCTTTATTTTTTCCGTACATGTTTGTTGACGTATTAATTCGGACAAAAATAAACAAAGAACAACATTTGATGTAAAATCTAGATGAATGAACTATTCGATCTAAAATCGTTCTATGTAAATGCGTATATATTTTATGTTAAGATATAAATGAAGAAATTTGATTGATTGATTTTATGGTAATAAATTCTGTCAAGTAGATACCATTGTTCCATTCTTATACCTCTATTTGATTTATTTTAAAATGATAATTAAATGAAACGAGAAAAAAAATGAGAATTTAATTTTCAACGATATATCACTTGAAATGATTTCTGTTTTGTTTTTCTTTTTCCATATTGACCTAAATTTCAAACGAAAAGATTTCCTCTTTTGTAAAGGTTCAGATCAATTCATTGATTAGTCAAAAAATAAAACCAATGAGAAGCTACTTGACATTTTTTCAGGAAACTAATAATTAATATTAATAAAATCACTTGTATAATTTTCTAAGTAATTTTCGTGCTTCTCTTTTCTTTCATGGATTTGTTGAATGATAAAACGTAACGTTTGAAAATAATCTGTACAGTTCCAAACACTATTTTACTTTAAACACAATTCTGTGCGTCTATATGTAAATTATACCAATAAGTATTGTGACTGTAATGAAGTAAAAAATATTGTCTAAGATAAAAAATAAATAATGAAGATTTAATAAGAAATAATAATTTATAATTTCATTTTGTTAAATTTCCGGTAATTCGACAGAAAGAAAAGGCAAAATACAGGTGTAAAGACAGTTCTCTCCAGAGAGACCTTTTTTCACTAGAAGAAAAAAAAACGAATATACGTAGATATATCATGAAAAATGAAAAGTTTCAATAAAACTGTTTCCTACAGATTTATTTAAAATTATCTGTTAAGATCTTAATGAGATAATATTTTCAAGTGATTCGCTCTGTTTGTCCCACATTTCGCTTATATGTAGGAGATTACTACAGTAGCGTAACCTTTATTAGTGAGTATCTTCCGTTCTGAACAAAGTCTCAGTTTCACGAGGCAATTTTTATTGGAAATGTATCTCTCATATGTGAACACTGAAGTTCGTCGCGTTCAAAATTTTCAGACTTGGTCAAACTATACTTTGATATTCTCAATTTAATATTCTAATCAGATTTTGATAGTCGCTCTGAAAATACAAGATACTTTTTTCCGATTTGTTATAGTCAGTGACTAGAACCCGATGGGCTTTAATAAATAACTCTCTACTCTTGGCTCAAACATTGTTTTTTTCCAGTCACGATTGCTATTTTAGCTCCTCTGAAAAGAGTACATATGTATTTTTTTCTTCCTCTTTTCTGCATTATTTTTGACTAATGCACTAAAACTGCTGTTCATTATTTGTTCTAACTGTACGCATCAGAGAAAGTAGTGACATTACAACCATAGTAATGGTTCATCGAAATGTGATTAGTGTGAGATATTAATACCATGTGTACTTTATTTTTATAACTATATCTATATTCAATCGATTATCTTCGCAACAATCTAAGGAATATGCATAGGACGATAATATGAGAAAAATCCCATAAATCATAAACGAAGAACAGCAGATAAGATAAAAAAATCCAGCCTAAATAACAGAAAAGGGAAAGTACATAGCGCATGACTAATGACAAAACAAAAGAAGAAGAACCGAAGCATACATATATAATCCTATAGATAAAGAGGGAAAATCCTTATGATTGCGTCTGAAAAGATATAGGTCATAATAATTAGCTGAAAACTCGAATATTTTACTTGTTTCTATATATAAATATTTAAAAACGAAAAAACATAGATTATCTGAATGATTATCGAACCAATTAAAATCAATGTATTAAATGAAAATTCAAAAGTTTTAACGTAATAAAACATGATAAATATATATTTGCATGAATTCTACAGCAACATTGATCAAATTTACATGTATCAAGACCGAAAAACAAATTATAGGACTTTGCAAAACAGAGCAAAGTTTTGTATTTTATAAACACTTCAATGAACGAAGATAAACAACACAGAAAGATCTCTAATTACTTCAAAACTAGTAAAGAAGCTTATATTCTAAAACTTTTTCTTTTTTCGTAATAAAATATATCACATCTTTCATAGATGAACATCTCTCTTAATATTGAACATTTTTCGAAAGTTCTGACGAAAAAGAAGTGTATGGAAGAACGAAGATTCTTTTTATACACAATTAATATATGAAAATTATTTAATTCAATTACGTGAAATAATACCTAAGTGTGTCAATAAGTTAATTATAAAAGAAGAGAAACCATTGGAAATATTTAATAAATTTTTGATTATGAACAAATATATTTTTCTATAATTTATTTTTACATGAAACATTTCTATTTAAAAAAAAATATAAAAACACAAAGAGTGAAAGACTTGAAACATTGAGCTTTAATTTTTAGTTCCATTGATTATATCATTGTCATATTCAGCATCTTGATCTAAACGTAATTCGATTGAATTATTTTCGCAAAAAATTGAAGCTACTATTGGTGATATATCTAATTTTATTAAATCTTCATCACCATCATCATCACCTAATGGTAACCTCGTCGATTGTTGCTGGTAACTAACAACATCATCAATCTGTGAAAGTGGATTGACATGAATTTCTATATGCAACTTCGTTGAATTATTTGTTTGACGATTATTTACAGATTGAGAATTTGGTTGATTGGTAGATAATTTATATGTGAATAAACTAATTGTTTTGGACAAACTCACAGTAATCATTAAAAATATCATACCAATGAGCGGAATTGAGTAGATAGACAGGTTGTTAAGAAACATGATTTTACAAATGAATGACGCTTACAGCAATAAGCATCGAACAGAAATATATATGTAGAAAAAAAAAACAGAAAGAAAAAGAACGAACGCAACAAAAACTGCTGTACGCAACGTATGGGTAACCAACGAGCATGATTTGTTTGTAGGACAAATGACTAGTATCACTTTCTAACGACGAAATATAGCACACATACATTCAAACTAATAGTTCGTCTAAACAATATTATGCATTCAAGGTATACAAGCTTCTATTTTGTAGTTTATAACCCATTAATCATTACGTCACTGAGCATGTTGGGTACTTAGCTGCTTGTTGTTTTATGACGAGCATCAAGATTGGTTAGAACTTCTTCGATTTTGTTGATGTAAAATACTGTTTTTTTTTCTATTTCATTAACATATTGATCAAGTTCAAGATATTCATCATATGAAAGTTTTTTGTTAATATCTAAATATTAATATAAAAAAGTTTGTATTTTTTTAAAAATATGAATTAATTTTTTGTATATTAATCAAATAGCTTTTCTTTTAAATTAAAATACAGAGATTCGGTTGATTCTTGAGTTTCTAAAGCATTACAATGTACTACTTTCTAAGTCTTTTCTATCCATAAAATGCAAATGTAAACCATGGTAACCTTCAAAAAATAGAAGACATAAGAAATATTTGTGTGTAATCAAGAACGGAACCATGAATAAGATTTGTAAAAGTAATAATTGAATGATTATTCTTTTTATGTAAAACAAACAATAGTGCATTTACATAAACGTTTGTAACTATTTTTTTTCCCTTCGATATGATAGATTGATTCGAATTTCTATCGATGTATCTATTGATCATGTATTGTACACTTCATATGATCCTAAAGAAGCAGTACTCATCTCTGAACTAAATATTGGTATCTCGAAAGAAAAGCTTTTTGAAATTTGTTGTGCCTTGAACGTTTTTATGCTAGGCTAATATACTTTCTTCAACTGTCACTTGATTTTTTTTTATATGAATAGTCAAGAAATGCATATATCTGTTATATCTGGCGAATTGATGTAATTTCAATTGATTCTTTATAATTACCCGATTTGTTTTCATCAACACTAAATAGAAAAACAAGTAACATCAATAAACAAATATGATTGAATACTATACTTACGGTATACCAAAAAATAGTGACGGAAGTATTTTGATTTCTTATAGAAAGGTATCTCTCTATATAATTCTATGATATTTGATCATTCTTCAACTAATACTAGAATAGTAAAATTTCTATAAAAGCTGCTTTTTTATTATACGTGTCAATAATGTTAGATTAGATTTTATCTTCAATGAGTATCTTCTTTTTTTCTCATCTGTGTGATCTAATACTATCAGCATGAATCATAACAAACAGCTCTTATTGAAATTTTATTATTATACAATTAGTTGAAGAATGATCAAATATCAGAAGGTACAACCGATCAAGTCGAAATTTTTATCACAGATAGAGCACCAAAAATAAGGAGACATATGTTCGAGGTGAAATGTTTTTCTGTAGAGCCACAACCTACAGCAGTTGCTTACGACCACCATTTAACTTTGTTCAATTGGACTAAAGTTTTTTACGATCGATATTTAGGAGTATTCTCCAGAGATAATATCGACTGTTTTCGTTTTTGACTTTCCTATCCAAATTTATAGAATCCTGAAAGTTAAGATCCCAGGTTTGGCACGGAACACTTACGCATTTCAACAATAGAAAGTCAGATTTTTGGAAAAGCTTAAAACTATCCCCGAGATATAGTCTTGTGTATCTTCAAAACAATTCTCAACCCAATCGAATAAAGTTTGATAGGGATTGTAATGTATCAGGATGCAACCCTATGAAAAACCGAGGCTTCCCATAAAGTACCGCAGAAATACACTTCAAACATTTTTCTTTGAACATGTGTTTCCTTATTCTATCTGTCATAAATAATGCAGCTCGATCGATTGTATCGTCTTCGAAAACCAAAAACAGTAGAAAAGAGGAGAAAGAATACTCTTATGTTTTGTATAGGGAATCCATCACTACTTTTGGTACGCCTTAAGAATTTTACTTTTGATTAAGTTTTATTTGTCCTGTTTCTAAATCATGCTTCATTATCTTTTGTTCTTCTTCATCTAAATTACCATCCTTATTTTTATCATATTTATTAATGATTTTTTTAATATCATCATCTGTGTAACCACGAATCTTATTAAAAAAAAAGCACACAAGTGAATATAATCCTAAAGAAAAAAACTTTTCATTGAAACTTTACTTTTAAATTTGTTTCATAATCAATCGATTTTTTTTTCGGTATTAATTGATAAAAATTCATTGAAAAATTTTTTATTTTAAATGTTTGTAATGTTTTATCTGATTCAACTCTTGAATATGTTTCATTTATAATAGCTAAAAACATATTTAATAAAACAAAATAAACAAAATAAATATATGAAAATAAAAATAATGGTCCCATTATTTGACCAATATTTCTCATTGCATAAAGATCAAAATCTCCAAGTATCATTCGAAATAAAGCAAAACTAAAAAATCAAAATAACAAAAAAAAAAATTATTTTCTAGAAAAGAAAATAAAACATTCTAATAATTTTTACATTGATGTACGAAATGATCTCCATTCTGTTAAATATCTACCAAATAATATCCAACCAAGTTGAGTATAAGCAAGAAATATGATTAAAAAAATTGAAGTAAATGCAAATATTTCATTTAAACAAGATGAAATTGTTTTAGTTAGTAAAAGCATAGTTTTATTTATGTTTAAATATTTAAAAATTTTTAACCATGTTATTGAAAGTGTTACACCTAAATAAAAATCTGAATTGATTTTTAAATCAAATAATTCATCGAAATTTGGATAATTATTTTCAATTTTTAATAATTCTCCAAGATATTTTGTTGTTGAAAAATGATTTAATATTTCATATAGAACACATATAAATGAAAGAATAATTGTTATAAGATTTATTAAGTTCCATAGATTGAATAGAAATAAATATTTTTTATTGACAATCTTAAAAGATAAATATTATTTTAGAAATAACTTCATAATTGAATTTACTTCAATAACACATTCGATTACTTGGAGAATAACAATCAAGGTAAATATTATTTCACAAATAAATGTTAAATAATCAATGGAAGATGTATACTAAAAAGAGCATTTATTTAAAATTATAATTTTGTTTTATGTTATTGAAATCTACATATAGATTAAACTCAAATTGCAATTGCTTAGTTCATTCATCGCTAATGTCGGAAGTTCTTCAACTGATAAATCTCTTTTGTGATGAGGCTATGTCGATTATGTAGACTCAAAAGAGTTCATGTTCTTAGCTTATTGCTGCAGATATAATGTACTTTTATGGTATATTTTAAAAATAAATACTGTGGTTGCTTTTAGAGTTGTCACTATTTTTTAGTAGGGAAGGAACTAATAATTCAGTCCAAAGTGCTCTATTCTCATAGTGCCAGAAGCGATGATTGAAGGAAGGAGAAGAATGAAATCCACTGTGGCCCAGTCGCTCTCACAACTGAGAACCTACCGCTGGGCTATCCGTTTCTGAATCTAAGTCACCTCAAAATAATATTGTCTGCTTATTTTCATTTCATTAGAAAAACTGATCTTCGAGTTTCGATCTGAAGCTTTCCGTACAGACAGACTTTAATAAGAGTAGTTTTTTTTTTTGAATGCTTCAGATCCGATCACTGTTTCTATCCTAAGACGCATCTATAATAATAGCATGTCTCTTACATTGCTCGTATTTCAGCATAGGAACAAATAGAAAGACTTCAGATTTTCACAATTAACTATTCTCGTTTAGATCGATCTTCATATAAAGTTTCGAGTCGAAATTAGGAAAAATTAATTTTTCTTCTGTTCCTGCATTCATTTAAAAAAGTACCCTAAAAGTACAACCGTAGCAATAAGCTAAGGGTGCAAATTCTTTTCTGAGTACTCATAATTCATTTGGAACTACATAGTGCACATAGTCTTGATTTGAAAGCGATTTATGAGTTAGAAGATTTTTCTCGTAAATGAATCCCCAAAAAAAGAAGAAATATTATAGACTGTACAAATAAAAGTTTACTAGCGAGACATATTGCGCTTATTTGGACGAAATATAAAACTATCATGGGTTCTAAGTCTAATTAGAATGAAATTATATGATTTGAAAGTAAATACGAAAATGATTCGAAGTACGTCCATCAGAAATAAACTTGTATCGCTTTAGTTTTTTTCAAACCGATTTTGAATTTCAAAGAAATTGAGCCATATTTATCCCTGAATTACACATTTTTCTGTAATTCGTCAGTCTACGAATCTTTGTATTAAATATGATAGAGCATATCCTAAGAGGTTAGTTTCACTCATCGTTCAATATTCATATGACGATCGCATAATCAATAGAATTTATTTTATGAACATACTCGAATTAATTTAACTGCTCGAATAGATGTTGAAGTAATAGCACCGCCTACATAATCATTAAATACTTTTATCATACAATCAAAAAAAAGGAGAAATTATATACCTGATGATGGATATTCCGCAAGAAGACTAAATGATATACAGGGTGTCTCATAATTATAAGACCCCCTACTAAATTTCCACAAAAATAAAGATTTCCTTAACTAAAGAGGATTTCATTTCCAATCTAACGTCACACCTAAAGACATCCAGCAGTACTCTATCATATACCATATTAGTTTCAATTTAGTCAATTACCATTAATGAATAAATTTTAAAAATTTCAAATCAATGCGTCTCATAATTATAAGACCCCCCTCCCCCAATGATATAAAAATATTTAACTAATTCAAACTCTATCAACTCAAATGATTCTTTTTAGGATCCATTCGAAAGAGGAGACATGCAGCTATATGCTATAAAAAAATNCGCAAAAAAAAACATTGAATTATTCGAAAGACGTCGTTTTTTCGAATAGACGTTTTCAGAAAACATCTGTAAAACCCTTAAAATCCATCGTAAACAAAATAAACCATAGTGCATTCGATAGCGGACGTGATGCTCTATCACATGCGCTATTTAAAAAAAAATCGATAAATTTGACAGAAATCAACTTTTTTTGGGTGGACCTTAATTAGGGAATATATCTCGAAGCATTAGAAAAAAATCAAAAACTTTAGTATAGACTCTACGTGCATTTTTAATAAAACTTTCAGCAAGATTGAACTCCAAAAACTAAATTTTATAGAAACCTTATCTAGTTCTGGAACAAAAGTTTTTGTTTTATCATCATCTAGAAATTCTGAAGGAAGAGCTGTACCGCTAAAAATTGATTTTGAACTTCTCATTCGGTTATAACAAGATTTTTTCATACTTCGAAAAGTAAATCGTTTTCTTAGCCTCATGAGTTGCCTATATTTAGTTTTCAAAAATGTTGTCTCAATTTGGAGTTTTTAAACTAAAATAAATCAATTAGAAGCCGATATCCTTTTTAACGTTAGTTTTTTTTTACTGATAATTTTAGCTCTAGGAAAGTTTATTATCCTCAGACATACGTACGTGCTTTAATCTTGTGAAGTCACATTATGAATGAATGATTTTATCCATATCTTTGTTATTCTCAACGAAAATCCTCTATTTGAAATATATAGCTTGTTTAATATAACAAAAAATAAATTATTTTAACAAAACAAAAAATATCTGAATGCTAGATTACATTATACTAATCTGAAATGTCTACATACAAATAGATCACACAGTCTATAGACAAAATAAAAACTTGATTGATACTTGTCTAAACTGTTGGTTCACCACCAGTGACTTTTAAGAAAAAAATGAATATTTAATAAACAAAAAAAATAAGATCAGAAAACTTACCCGCCAGAAGTTTACTATAAAATAGAAATAAAATATACTTAATTTTAATGATATTAAATAAACAAATTTGCTGATTTACCCAGATACATATGATGAATCAACTCCGCAAGCTAAGAAGACAAATGCTGGTGCTAATTCTCGTGCTTGTGCTGGTCGTTTAATTAGATAATTTGATCCAAATTGTGAATTTTTTTCTTTTGAAAATGATGCAACAACTAATGGTGTCCATACAGATTCAGGCTAAATTAGAAATTTTCTTTAAGAGAAAAATTATCAAATAAAATAGTTTATCTACCGCAACACAGTTAACATGAATTCCTTTTTCTAAAAGTTTTCGAGCTAAATCTTTTGTAAAACCAACAATAGCAGCTTTTGTTGTTGCATAATCTAAGATTTCAGCTGATGGATCATAACTAAATAATAATATATATTAGAATATAAATAAAAAATTTCTAGTTTATTTTACACTTGAATTGAACCAACATTAATAATTTCTCCACCTTTTGGCATATGTGGAACTGCATATCGAACCAAATCAAACACTTGAAATAAATAAAAAATTAAATTATCTCTTTTTATTTTTGCTTTTATCATCAAAATTTATTCGCAATAATATGTATTTGTTTTAAATGTATATTCTATTCGTTGATGATCAAGTTCACTAATGTCTTGCTATAAAAAATAAAACAAGAAAATTTCTAATAAGATTTATTTTTTTCTTGTAAATAAAAATAACGAACCACTTATTTTCCTTGATATGCAGCATTATTTACTAATCTATCAATTTGTTTCAATTTTGATACTGCAGTATCAATAACATTTTTACAATGTGCTTCCTAATCATATATGTTTAGTGTTTCTTCTGATTGTAGAAAATCAATACTTACTTGACTAATGTCACCAGGCTAAAAAAAGAAAAATATAAATCAATAAAAACAAAATTCAACCTTTCGATTAAATAAATTTTTCTTTGAATGTAGAGTGTGTAAAAATGTTTTTTTTTCCAGACAGTAGGAAATTCAACTTCCACTTGCTGTATAAGTTTTGTGGGCCGCATGACGGAGAGAATAATCTTCCTGATGTCAAAAAATCATTATGATTAATGACGCATTTACGAACCCGTCATTGACAAACATAAGTTAAAGATATTTATTCTTTTTACAGTACATTTATTGTCCATATAAAACAAAAGAGGCAAGATAGACAATTTAGAACTAATACAACAGTATAAAAAATTATCAAGATTCACCCTATCTGATTCTATCAAAATATCTACTGACGTACCAATATTGATTATATTCAGGAGCATAAAGCCTCCTGCTTTTGAAATTCATTCACACAATGCTCCTTTTTTCGGTGCTCTGCCACTCTATGCTTTCCTTGCCCTCAGTGCCGAGCTACGCCTCTGATTATATGATATAAAAAACGGTTTGTAAATTTTTCTTCCCATTTTGTGACACTACCCTCGGTATATCACACATTATACCGAACTGCTCACTTGTGGTTTTCGTTCGATTAGAATCATATGGTTTCATGTCCTTGACCTATTTTCAAATCATTTACGATGTTGTTAACTCATGTTAAGATATACCATCAAATCACACTTTTGATGGACTTTATTTTGGTATAAAATTTATTGCATATAAAAAGTCTTAATAATGTCCTATTTTCTTGAAAAAATATTTCTACACATTCTATACTTTAAAACTAAGTTTTAATAATCTTTTATTCTTGATATTAGAAGCCAATCAATACCCAAAAGACGTAAATTTAAGTTCATTTTTCGGATATACTCTGCATAGTCTCAATGCGTATTCACTTCAATGCATAAACATGTTATTCACCATTAATAAATAAAAATATTCAACATTATCTCAAAACCAAGAGACGAAGCAATTAAGAATAGATTCGCTTTTGCAGTCTGTTAGAAGTCTTACCACTAAAATACATTTACGACCGGATTCTTCAACAGCTTTTTGAATTTTTACAGCATCCTCATCTTCATTTAAATATGAAATGACTATTGATGCATCTTCACGTGCGAATGCTAAAGCAACAGCTCGACCAATACCGGAATCACCACCTTACCAAGAAACGTATACTATACATTTGAAAATATTTTTTAATCTTACCACAGTAATTGCTGCAATTTTATCTAGAAGTGTACCTGAACCTCTATAAGTTTATAAAATTACTAGACATTATCAAAATCTAACTTTCATTGGATACCAATGAAGATCTTATTTAGACATATTAGCAGTACGTGTCAATGAGAATTTTAAAGCATAGAATGGAATCGAGCATATGCTATGCTATTATATGATCTCGATGCACACTCTCGTGTTGCATACACGTGACAACATTGTATGTGGCGACAATAATCCAAAGTGATGATGTGGTTGGTCTTCGTAATGAATCAATCAAATTGTGTTGAACGTTAGTTAGTCAGTCAAAAATAGACAGACCGTCTGTCTATTATTGCACCATCACAGTGTAATACGTTCCAATCGGCCTATTACGTTAATATAATAGTCGTATTCGATTGTTTTTCTTTGCCATAATTGCTGTTATCAGCATCTTTCTTTCAGAATGGCCAACTATCAACTTTATCGCAATACAACATTAGGTGTTACATTACAGGACACTCTAGAAGAAATGATTTCGGTTTATAAATTTATTGATTTTTAATACATATTTATATATATTCTTTTATAATAGCAAGGTGCATTGACTGATCAAGCGGCTGGTAAGGTTTTAAGTGAATTCGATCGATCAATTAATTTAGCACTCGATAAACGAATTAATAAAAAAGTTCAATTTACGGTAAAATGAAGTTATTAAATCTTAATTAAAAAAAAAATCATTTGTTTTTCTTCTAGGGAAAATTAAGCACATATCGTTTTTGTGACAATGTTTGGACACTTGTATTAAAAGATTTTAATGTTAAAGATTCTAATCAAAGTCAACATAATACAGCAGCTCCTTCTTCACAAATACCTCCTGTCGATAAAGTTAAAATTGTAGCATGCGATGGAAAAAGTCTGTTTTCTTTTTATTCAAATAAACAAAAAATTTTTCTCTATATTCTATTTTAGGTGCTTCACAAGCTTAAAACAATTTCTTTAAGACTATCTTTGATGTTTACTTAATTTTCTTTTTGTATATTAATACTCATCGAAGTTTTTTTTTTTTGGGTACAAAAAACAATACAGAATGAATTTTGTCATCTTTCAGATGTCAGAATATAGTGATATTGCTGGAAGCGACGATATTATTTCGCTTAATCTTGAAAGCCAAGAAACATTGAAGTATTTGTTTAGTATTTTTTTGTTTTTGCTTAATTATCATTCGTTTTTTCTAGTGAACATTCATATCGAGCTAAACCATTAGCAAATCGTACTGATAAGAGCATGCCTATGAAAGGTTATTAGAGAATTTTATTTTTTATAAAGAATTTTAATATATTATTTTATTGTTTACAGATCAAGCAAAAGAAAATCAAAAACCAATTGAACAGGTTAGATTAGTACAAAATAAGAAAGACAGTGTTAAAAAGATTTAAAATGATTATGTATTTGTACTCGTGTTAGAAAATCATCAGATAGATTTTAATAGGAATTTTCTACGAAATAATATGATTGTTCTTGATTTGACAATTATATTTATTATTACTATAATTTTCAAGTATTTTTTGAAGCTTCTCTGTTAATAATCTATTTGAGACCAAATGCATTGAAATCGTATGAAAATTTCAGCTCTATATCATGATGTTCTCAGGGGAACAACATGTCAGACTGCAGTACCCTATTTTGATTTCTTACTTATTTTTACAGAGAAAAATAATCATCTACTTATAGAAGTGCTTTTTATATAATAATGAAAAGGCTTAATTCAAAATACAGGCACTGCAGTTTGACATGCTCTTTCAAGCGACAAAAAATAGTAATTAGCTACAATGAAACTGCCTGGAGAAACCAAAGATGTGCGATAAAGAAAAAGAATATTTTTCAAGTAGGAGGTAGCGGAAATCATCAAAACTTTTGACAAAAAAATGAGATAGCAAAGAAAAAAACATCCCGTTTATGAAAGATCAGATCTCGAACTATTGTCGCAATTTCGATTTTTATAACGAAAATTGATACAAAACAGCAAAAGTAAATGTGTTTCACTTGTCATTCTAACCTTTATAATTTTAATTAGCAATAAATAATGATATAGCTTGTAAGAATTTTGATATTGAAATACGATTCTTTCTTTAATATATAAATTCTGCTGTTTTAAGATATTGAGAATAATATTCGAGTTTAAATGGTATGTTTTTCGAATAACCATAAGGAATAACATAGGAATGCTTTATCTAAAGCCAAAAAAACAAAATGAAGAATATTTTTTTATTCAAGGTTAATAATGAAGAAACTGATCCCATGCAAACGGACACTCAAAACTGTTCAATTCCAACAGTAAACAATGAAGTATCAACTGAACAACCACCATCTTCGATTGATACTCAAAATAACTTAGTATCGGATAATGTAAGATAATAAATACAAAAAAACATTCATATTTCATAGACTTGCTTCTTTTTTTTTCCTATATTTAGCCATTTATTATTCAACCACCAATGGCTCATTCAACATTAACTGATGAAAATGTGGTTTCAGGTGAAAAAGGTAATGTATTATATTCTTACGAAAGAAGTCCTTCAACTAATTAATCATTTTGAAGTCAAGACTATGTGCATCATGTAGACTATAATGAGCTACTTATACCCTTAAAACATTCCAATCCCCTTAGCTTATTGTTAATGAGATGCTACATTTGTACAGATTTGTTTATTATTTTATATAGTGGTTCCTTTCAAGAATACAAGAAAAACTCATTTTCAAATTTCTGTATAAAAATAGACCTTAACGAGAGTAGTTTATTATGAATGTTTTAGGTCTTTCAAGTTGCTTTTTTGGTTGAAATAAGAAAAATAAAATCAGTCAGTGTATATGGTAGTATAAAAGACAAACTTTTATCATAGCTCTATCTTAGAATAGCAACAACAAAATCATCTGAAAATTTCATAATAAACTATTTTCAATGAGGCTAGTCTCCATGAAGAGTTTCAAGCTGAAATTCGAAAATGATTTTCCGTAGTGTTCCTTAGGGGGGTTACAGTATTGAAACTCAAAAAAACTACCGTTAAAATGCGATAAGTTAAAGGCACGAAGAAGATTTCTTTCGATAGTATTTTTTCTAATGCTTTATTCAATTTATGAATATAGATGTATCACCAGAAAAATCATCGATCGACGATCAGGTATTATTTCTTTGTAATAATGAATTAAAAATATATGTATAATTATCTTGATAGAAAACTCCTGTCGTCAATTCGGCATCAAAACCAGTTTGTATTCACATTAAAAAAAAACAAACATTTATGAACTTTTTTCTCTCTTTCAATTAAGGATTCGAGCGTATCTGGACTTGATGCGTCAGCTACAACAAATAGTAAGACGTATAAATTTTTTAAAAACTTTACTTAATTATTTCTTTAGATTTACGACTTTATATTTCACCATCAACTAGTCTTCTTGAAACAACAAATGATGATGCACAGTAAGAAATTATATTATTTATCTTATTTATTTAATTATTCCATCATAGACCAAATCCTTCGAATGTATCAACAACAGAAATCGAAGAAAAAAATAAACTAACAGGTCTTATATCAAACCATATAAAAACTCATAAACTAATAATAATATAAATATAATTTATAGAACTCGACAATAAGCCAAAAGATGAACCAATGGATACAAGTGATGCACAAGCTTCATTAGGTAGTGATGGTATTATTGATTCACAACCTACTTCTGCACTAATTATTGAATCTACTTCAGTTACTGAAAAGTCTACAAAGGTTGAATCACCTAATCAAAGCAAAACCATTGTAAGTGCATTATTTTTCCTTTGTTCGCATACAATGACTCCAAATATTGATCATAAAAATTTAATTTCGATTGTTTTTTTCGTAATTCTAACTACCATAAAGTATCTAAATAGTAATTTGAATGAAGCAATTTAGTTCGAACAAAGATTTGAGAAAAATAAAATCTTCACAATATTTCCAAAATTCAACAGCTAATTTTACATCACTCAGAATCCCCAAGATAAATGCTTTTTTTGATAGAGCAATTCATTCTCCAGCAAATGAGATGTCTCCGAGCTTGACACGACATTTTGTGACTGAACTACATAAACTATAAAACAAGTTCAAAAGTAGTTTTTTTCGTCATGCTTGTGAGAAAAAGTACTACTATGCTTTTGCTGAAAATTCATGCAGTTCGGTTAAAATATGTAGTGAAGTGCTCGGAGATATTTTATACTCTAGAGAATTAGTTGCTCTTTCAAAAAAAAAAAATTTTTTTTTATTTCGGAAATACTATGAGAATTTTATTTTCCGTAAATCTTTGTTCGAAATGAATTTCTGTATCCAAATCATTACTTAGATTCTTTATTCTAGTTACGATTAGGGAAAAAAATTGAAATTAAATTTGTACGATCAAGTTTTGGAGCTAATGTATTTATAAACAAAAAAACTTTAGATATCACCTGCTTCAAAAGCTTTGTATGCATTAAGTCAACCGGCAACAAATAAATTTGAAAGTATTCTTGCTAAGTTAACTGCTTCACCAGCACGACACACCACTTCAGCATATGGAAATGAAAATGAATCAAATATAACAACTGTAAGAAGATTTTGTCTTGAATATTTTGTCAAAGTATAAAATATATTTAGCGAGAAGAAGAAGAATTATTTATTAAAGAATCTATATCAAAAGTAGTACGTCGTTATGCTGTTAAAATTGATCAAAATGGACGAACTATATCACGTGAACTTCTTAATGAAGTAAGATTTTTGTTTTTTCAATATTTTTCTTCAAACAATGAAGAATAACTTTTTTTTTCTTTTTTTTTGAATAGCGTACAGTTGAAGAAAATACAACTACTCGTATTGAATCATGGCCACCACAAGAAAAAAAGAATCGTCGTTCAATTACTAAAACTCATCGACCTACAGAAACTACTCGAAAAAAACCAACAAAATCAAACGTACCAAAACGAAAGACGAAAAGTTTGTAAGTATTAAAAGAGATTTCGGGTGACCTTCAATACGTGCATATGAATCGACTTTTAATTATAAATGACTAGTGCAATGTCTAAGATCATGACAGGGACAAACTGTGTCGGACCTGTTAGTAGATTAGTGCCGTCAATGGTTAGGACTTTTCGTAACCGGAGTTAATCAACATTCGGCAGATACTTTCACAATCACAGTACGGTTTTCTAACTTTTATTTTATTTGAAAAAGAGTATACTATTTAGTTTCTTCCATAAAGAGCAACAAAAAAAAATAGAGATCATATGAAATTCCACAAAGAAAACAAGTGATTCAGGATTTAGTTGATAGTTTTGTGCTTCTAAAATCTGAATGATTTCGATAAGGGTACGTATGCTTGTTGCTGATGACGTTGAAATGGAACGCAGTTTTGATACCATACATCATAATTGTAGACACATACATGAATGCTTTTTCCATCATGATAAAACATATTCACCTTTTTGATAATTCATTTTCCTCTCAATCTATTCAATTACGTTTACATATGGTTCATCATTATCATCTGTAGAAGAAATTTCGTTAAAAACGAGTTCTTTTAGTAAAACAATATCGCTTTCCACTTGTATGCTTTTCTACAGATTAATATCGGACTCGGTCGCAGGACACTATTGTATATAGACTGTAAGGTCCCAGATCCGATGAAGTGCAACTGTTAATATACCATTATATCTATACTTGAGGCATATATAAAGTTACCCTCGATAATCATTGACTATTTCGTTTTTTTTTCAGAAAACCAACTTCAAATGCTATTTCTCCTAAACCATCAAAACCTGCTCAAAGGTAAAATAAACGCTTAATCTAGTTATATTAAACTTATATTGTTTTATTAGTGATGATGATGAAGTATCAAAAACAAATACAAATGAAGATTCTACTGATGATGATAACAATGATGATGATGATGATGATGATGTTGACGATGCACCAACAGATGATATTAGTGGTGATGAATTTATACCAACATCAAAAAGTTCTACAGGACGATCATTAAAAAAAGGTTTACGAGTTTTTGCTAAATGGGTTGATGGTCATTTTTATCCTGGTGTTATTGGAAATAGTAATGGTGAAAAGTAAGTTAGAAAAAAATATTTTTCTTCTACCAATGAAGTTAATTTTTTTGTTGTCCTCTTACAGATATATGATTGATTTTGATGATGGTGCTAAACGTCATGTTAAAGCAAATGACATAATATGTCAAAGTTATTTAGAAGCTGATCAAAATGTTTTAGCACAAACTCAAGATGGATATTTTGATAGTGGAATTATTAAACGTTTAATTAAAAAGAAAAAAACTGGAAAATTAGGTTATATTGTTGAAAAAGATGGAAAAGAAAAATGGTATCCATTACGTTTTGTTTCATTAACTCATGAACAAGCTGAACATTTACCAATAGTTAATCATAATACAGAAGGTAATTAATTTTTATTGATTAATAATATTTAAATAAATAATTATTTATTTTTAGCATCAACAAATATTGTTCAAGGAAAACGTAAACGAACATTAACCGTACCTCAATCACCAAATAAAAAAACTAAAAGTTCAATTTTTCCATCACCAAATAAAAGTCAACGAACAAGTAAAATAATCAAATAATAATTTTATTTTACTTTTCTTTTTCTCAAATTAATCTAGCTCATACACCAACACGCTTAACAAAATTATTCAATACTATGCATTTTCTACTTACGGGTTTCAATGGTAGAATATCATTATATTTTATTGTTTTATTTTTGCATTAAAACATTTTCTTTTTAGATTCAATGGATATTCGACATAAAGTTGAAGATGCTATTGAAACTCATGGTGGAAAAGTGATTGAAAAAATGCCAACGGCTGTATGAATAAACCATTAATCATGTCTATAATTCGTTTTCACGTTTTTTTTTCTCTTTCTATTAGAATCGACGTGAAAATGTTTATTTAATATCTGATACAGCACGTAAAACAGCGAAATTTCTCGATGCTAAAAAATTAAATATTCCTTGTGTAAATTATAAATGGATTCATGAATCTATTGAAAAAGTAAAAAAGAAAATTTGAATGAATATTATAATAATGAAAAAATTAATAATAATAATAATTTTCTGTTCTAGGGTGAAATTCAAGATTGGAATATACATAAATTAGTTGTACCTGAAAAAGAAACTAAAACAAATAATGATGACATTGATGATCATCAAGAAGATTAGTAATATATACTATGTCAGATCTGTTATATTTGTTGTATAGATAAATAAAAGTTAGTTATATATTCTCCTTATATATTATTTTTCTTGTATGTTGTGACATATTCGTTATGGTATAAAGATAAAATAAATGATAGAATGCACTAAATACTTAATTTTGATTATATATATATATATATGCAAAAAAGAGAATTCTACCTAAACAAACGATAGAGATCGTGCAGGAATGATATTAAAAAATGGGTATTCTTCCAAAGACTTTTACATGGCTTATTAATAAAAAGAAAACTAAAAAATACCTATCAATATAAATTAAACAAATTCATTCATTATTCACTAAGTTGTAATTCGATTATAGCAACTACTAGTTTCTTTATAATTATTATTTTTTTCTCTTGCTTGTTTTTTCTTTTAAATTGATGAAGGATATAGTTTTCTTAACTTAATGTTGATAAATTTCAACGTATAAATGAAAATTGATTGATTTTACTAAAAATGTACTTCCAATGATATTTTTTTTTTGATTGAAAGTCATCTCACGTGATGTAAAATGTGATGTTGACAGAAGCTAGTATCTGGTAATGATAGTTTTATCTCCAACACGAAACATGAAATCATAATATGAACTCTGAAAGCATTACGGAAACGGAAATCGAGAAAAGTCATTCCCGCAGGACATCAGTGATCAATAAAAATGACTAATAACATCCGAACATTTATACAAATTTGATTCGAATAAAATCTATGATATTGTCTTCAAAGATCAGTATGTATTGCTTATATCGTTCTGAATTAATGTCAAAAACAGATTAGACTCAAACGATGAGACTTGTTGAGAGAGAATAAATTAAATGGAAAATTTGATGATTATTATTACGCAATAATCATGATACATTATTGCCATTCTTTTATGAAGATGTTTAAACAATTTTAACTGAAAAGAGGAATCAAGATGGAAATGAAAAGTAACAATTTTTGTAAGGCAAAACAAAACAGTAGATTGGAAGTTTGAGGCCGAAATCTTGATTATTTGGATTTGTAGAAACAGAAGAACCAGTTTGACATTTAATAACTTACATATAAATCAAATTGACAATAAAGTATTTTTCATAAAGATTGAGACTAATACCATCTTTATTTTGAATCATTAGTCAAAGTATGTAGCATTGTTAGCACCATCAATCAACATGAAATTTAATATTGGAATAGCTGTAGCAATTCATTTTTAAAATTTTCAATAAACCTATAACGATTATTGGATCTTCATTAAAGATTATATGTATTTGTGCGAACTAGACTTATTTGTAATTACTTCGTAGTTCATTCTCTTCCTCAACATATTAAAAAAACAAACTGATGTAAAAATAACAATTATATTTGTATGATTTTTCAATTTTCTTAATAGACCTTAACAATTCTTTCAGATGGGTACAATCGGCACTTTATCGCCATCGTCTATAATTGGTTATATGAGTATTCGAACGTTAGCTCAAGTCAATGATTCGAAGCAGTAACTGAATATTTTCAAGTTTCAGCTTCTTATTGAGTCATTTTTCAATTATGATGATAGATAACAAATATGTAACTTGGCTTTCAAAAGTACATATAATATGAAAATTAGATATGATTACGTAGTTCATGTTATCAATAGGAGAGAGCTTCGAGAAGAAAAGAGAACTATTCATAAGTAAATTTTCTCGCTTATCGGTTTAGTAAAATAAATGTACTGCTGCCATCAGGACATAATAACGAAAAATATATTCTCTTTCTATCGGATACCAAATACGATGTCAAGCTACCTCAGTAATAATCTACACATAAAAATGTTTTTGACAAAGGTGTCAATTACACTGTACATTAGTTAGTTTTTTTCTTTTTATTTTGTATACGAATATATAATGATTAAAATAATTCATTAAATTTCAATGCTGTCAAAATCACTATTTTCTTGAATCCAATCAATATAATTTGATACTCGTGTATAAATGCCCGGTTTCATTGGACTAGCACATCGTTCACCATAAGAAACAATACCATCAATACTATAATATAATATATTTGATAAATTTCGTTGAATATATAAACCACCACCACTATCACCTTGACATGTATCACGTTCTCCATTCAAATCACCACAACATATTTGTGTATTCCAATTTTTTTTTGTTGATGGTGAAACATTAGTACAAAAATCATTGGGATATATTGTTAGATTAACTTGTTTAAGAATAGATGAGCCTGAAAAAAAAACAGAACCAAGATATACAAACATTGATGGACTGTTTTTTTAATTTTTCGACAACTTTCACCTTGATTTGCACCTGGAAAAGTATCACCAAAACCAACAACAGTACCTGTTGTATTTACTTCAGATAACAAATAAGGTAAACAAGCAAATTGAACCTTAGGTGATGGCCGTAGATAGTCTTCAAGTTTAAGAATTGCAATGTCATTAAGTAAGTGTCTATCATTATAAAATGGATGCTTAGAAAAAAAATAATAATATATTATTGTCGATATAGTTGTTAACTTTTATTTTATCTTACTAGAATTACTTGAAGAACTCTTACAATACGTCGTTCAGTTGCCTTTCGTCGATCATATAAACCTACACTAACTTCTAACGTCTAGATAAAAATTGAATATATAAGTATTGTATGATGAATAAACCTACACTTTCGATAGTTGAATAATATTTATTCCAGACAATAGAAACTGCAAATGTTTTATAATCGAATCTAAAATATAAGATTTTTAACTTAATTTACATCTAGTACTTCAATGATGAAAGAATTTCTCTGAAGTAAATATCGATTCATGAGAACTTCAAAATGAACTTAATGGAAATGTATAAAAATAGATAGAATCCTCGAAAATCTTATCGATACTAAAATTGACTACTATGTTTGTTGGTGTAATAGTTTGAAGATCTTTTATATTCTTATAAATTGGAAGTTATCTGATAGAGAAAAGCTTGATTTAAAAGTTAATTCGCGTCAAAATAATGACTAGATCTTCAGAAAGCGAAAGCAGAAAAAGAAAATACTCTTGACAAAAAAAGATTATATCTTACGAATCTACACTGTTTATTATAATTCTACATTTGCAAAGCTTAATAGTGATATATGTTTTCACTTACTGAAAAAAAAGAAAAGAACTTTATTTGAAAATCGTAGAGAATCACTGTTAAATTAAACTGAGAGATATTGAAGGGATTTATCAATGATTCTACTAGTGAAAATGAATTAGGATTCTCATGTTGACACCATTTTTCTCTTCGTCAAGTAATTATTTAGATAATTAAATTAATCTTTTTATTGAACTTACGTATCACCGGCCGTTTTCAAACAATGCGCCTAAAAATAGTTTCTTTTATTATTCTCTGACAATTCACAAATCTGAACAGACCGCAGTTAAAATTGTCTTATGATTAATTAATGTTCCTCCACACATCCACGATGCTGAAATCTAAATAGTATAAAAACACATATATATACATATATTTCTTTTTGAAATTTCAACTTATAAATTATTACTAAATAAGATCTATTATTCAATGTAACTATTCTCTTATATCGTTGTCGAATAAGAACAGCAAATGGCCAACTATATTCAATAGCATCTACTCCACCAATGATACGAGCATTCGGTCGAATATACGTTATTCCACATTCTACAAAAAGAAATAATAATAACTAATACATCTTATATTTAAATTTGAAAAATATTATTGAATTACCATCACAAACTGTTCGCCCATTACCAGCTGTATTAGAATCACAAATACATTGTCCTTTGAATAGTGATCGATTGATACATCCTGATGCTCGTGAATGACATTTTATAAAGAGACATGGTTCTAAGTAGACATTGGAACTGATAAAAAAATATTTTATTATTAATAATCAAAAAAAAAACACTAGTAAATAAATCATATTGAAAGATATAACAATTTAATTATTATGACTTTCTCGTTCAATTATAACTAACATTATCGATAAATGTTTTGTTAAGTTGTTATGATTAGTTAATAACATACTTATACTAGCAAGCACAACCAATATTATGGTTGTTACAAGTAATATTGAAAAAATAACAAATATAATAATAATAAATCGTCTTTTACTTCAATAAAAAAAAACAAGGTTATTAAGTATTTAATCCAAATTTTCTTTTACTTTAAAAAATGATCGCAGATAGATGATGAATGAGATGTATTCGATATTTGATTCTAAAATAGATAAGAAACAATCTATTATCTTTCTAAATTCTTCTTTATTTACTTACATTCATTTCATTTATAAAAAAACTTCGAATGTGTGAACGGAAAAAAATACAATGTACATTAAAATCTCATCATTCATTTGTTGATATAATGTTGAACAAAATCAAGCTTACGATTGTTGTAAAGGAAACGAAGATAAGTGCTGTGCAATGACATTCAAATCAAGGATATAATGACGGCGAAGACATGAAGAAAAACGAATAGAGAATATAAGAAAAAAAGAAAAAAAAAATGAGAAATTCATAATGTCTTCAACAAATTGTCTCATACTTATAACGAACTTCCTTTTTTTTCTTTGAAAAACGATTCAAGTAGAATTGTTTGTGGTAATGTATATTTATTCATATATACGTACCTTTATAGGTAAAGTTAATGACTGTCCTTCGCCGTTCAGTTAAACGAATATAAATGAATATCATTATACGCGCATTTGTCATTACGCAGAAAAAGAACTTTAATATTTTACTTTTTATCAATGAGAATCAGTCAATTTTCAATGAAGAATGAATAATGATGTTAAAAAATGTCTGTTTTTCTACAAGAATTTAATTACCGTTAGTAAACAGCCTTTGCGATACTTAAAGATATTGTGCGGTCATGTGAAAATCAAACACACATTTAAATAGAGGTTTATGCGATGATCAGATTTCATTATGTTTTTAACTATTCATATTCTAAAAGCGAACAAATTTCATCAAATCTAAGAGGCATTGCACACTTCGATTGTGTTATAAGATTAGAGTGCATTATTCCTCCAATAACAATACTATATAGTAAAAAAAAAAAAAAAAAAAAAGAGAAGTTAATCTTTCGATGATCTTATTGTATATAATGCGTTGTAAAAATATTTATCAATCAAACCAAACAACGAAGAAATCTGTATATTTCATTACTCTTATTGTTAATGTCCACTCATCATCAGTGTTAAAGTGTTTTATTGTCCTGGCCGCAATACTGATCTAACGCAAGTTAAAACTTTAATATCATTAATAAGTACATGGTAGTATTGCCACTCATGCTGCAGCACTTTTTGGCTATACTAGCATAGTTCGTTTTCTTCTTGAACATGGTATTAAACGTAGTCAGTGTAATAAATTCGGATACACACCTGTGAATAAAGCAAAAAACACTGAATATCGTTCAATTCTTGGAAAATACTGACACTTTTGTATGCAGTAATAGTGATATGGTTAATGAAATGCTTTTCAGCTAGATTTCTACAGGACAAAGTTATTTTAAGTTTTGAATCCCGTTTTTTCCGTCCTATTTTATTCTGAATATATTCTGCGGGACGGAAAAAATGGGATTCGGGATTGTTCTGCTAGATTTTATTATCAACTACCTCTTATCATCTTAAACTTTCCTCTTCCGCTCAAGATCTATCAAGTTTATCTTACGTAGTTCGAAAAAATACACAATGCTGAAGAGTTGCGTAATAATAAGCACATATTGCAAAGAACAATTGACCCTTATGATTCACTATATTTTCTACAGGCTAATATAGTTTATTCAATTTTTTATGAAAGTTTAATAAGATCATCGGAAAACTTTAATCAGCTGACGAAAGAGAAAAAAGACAATTCTCTATGGTTCTGTTCTCTAGTTCGATTCTTAGCTAGTGATGAGCTCAGTTTTCGCCCACATCAATAGATTGACATCACATATCGTGGATTAACTTAATACAAGTTAAATAATATTCTCATGAACAAAATGTTGTTATTTCTAATTAGAGATCGTAACTGAAATAAACATTTACATCAAAATATTACTGTAGTCATCAAATAAAATAAATTTTTTTTTCCTTATCTATATGAAACACACCTTGATAGAAAAGAAAACAAAATTTTATTTTCAAAAGATTTCGTAATACAACAGCGTATACATAGAAGTATTCTGTCATTTTTTAACTGTTCTGTCATATGCAAAACTGTCCAATTTCGTTATATAGTTGATAAATAATAATTATATTCTATTTTTAATTGTATCAAAGATCAATGTTGCCATACGATCATACCCAGCAGGTGTCAAATGAACAGCATTATCCCAGATTCGTTGTCGTTCTGTGTTATCGATTACAGAACGATAGGGTATACCTTTGTCAAGATCCACTAGACAAACTCTCTTTTGATCATTAGCGTTAGCCACATAATTTCGAATCATTTTATTCAAGTTTTGTCTATTTTTCTCTTGCTTATGTGTCGGTGAATAATGTGCATTTTCAATAACAGTCATTACTGCAAGCTTAGCTTTTGCTTGTGCATGATTAAGACACATCTCATACATTGGCTCTAAACCTTTCTTAAAGATATCTTCGGCCAAGAAATTCGAGCTCAAATCATTAGTACCACCTAATATAATAATCCAGTCATAGGATACATTTTTTCCAAGCAGACTGCGAAGTCTCTTAACCATGTCAGGTAAGACTCGTTGACCACTTACGCCTTGTTGATGTATCTTGACAGGAATGTTGGCTGAGTCGAATAAATTTGTTAGATGTGTTGCATATGGATGAAAAGATTGGCCATTATTGTAATAACCTTCCGTAAGAGAGTCACCGAGAGCCAGGATTTGAAGTGGTTGTCGTTCCTTTTTTAAAAGCGTTACGAATAAAATAATGCACACGGAAAAAAGACCAACAAAAACATATGCTCGATAATGTTGCATCCTTGCCTTACACAAATATAAAATATATGAAAGCAACGTGCGTGTCGCTTCCTAATGATTCAGATTGAAAACATTCTCTTTCTCTCTTTCTTTCTTTCTTTCTTTCATAACTATAAGAGAAAAGGTTACATGTATTCTGTATGTTTAGAAGGTGGCGTAAGTCGATCAATAAGGTTCTGTATGATTACGTCACCTATCATATCAATCAAATGCATGCATTCATGAGTGAAATTCAAAATATTTCATTGACCGTAAAACTAATATTAAATATGAATCAAAGATCATTAAAGGAGTATAAAAGTCTATCACCTAACCCCTGTCAATTTATTTTATATATGCCACCACTAGTTCAAAAAGTGTTTTCAGAAGTGAATTTTTGGCAAATTTTTCAAAAGCTCAAGTTAAATAAGTACATTCGTAAATGACCGTACTATATATTTCTCTATATAGGATGAAGCGTCATGCTTGAGTAGCTGCATTGCTCAACATGTAACCATAAGGTACTGGGTTCAAACTTCAGCATCATCAACCATTGAAAGATCCTAGACAAGTCATTAACGGCTATTTATTTCGGATCACTTGTTCGATAGAATGCTGATTATGTTGTGACATACATTTGCTCTTATAACTAGCTAGTGTGTATGGGAAGCTCAAACAATTCAATATAAAAACTCTGCGACAAGCTTGTCTTTTATCCAGAGCTATAGCTAGTATTAGTTGTAGAGAATATGTCAGGCTATTAAATGTTCTAATAAACGGCAACCCATATCGTAAAGTAACCGAAGGACAGGGATATTCTTCCTTTCATATACGATTTAATTGCTTTTTATATGATAGCAGAAATATATGATCATAGTAGTGAACTAAATGAACTGTCAAAAGATAGTCTTATACAACGTAACATATTTGTTTACTAGAATATGCAGGCTCTGTACTCTTCTTCCTAAATATACGTCACAATCACTATTTCATTTTCATGCCATCAAAATAAAGTAAAAAATATACATATACAGACTAATTCAAAAAAAAGACTGCCGAAAATCATTGATTTTTTTAAAGTTAGCTTTGTTCTTAAAAAAAGGACAGTGTTGTCAATGAGTGAAAAAATTGTCAAGTCTTACGGTATCATCCTTCCTCTGTTGTGGAGAAGACAGAATGTTATGGCATCGCTCATTAGCAAATATTAAGCTCTGATTTAAGTGTCAACATACTTTTTAACAACTATTCAAATCATTTATAAAAATATCAATCTAACTTGAAATCTTTTACCAACAGGTTAAAACTTGCCATTTCTCAGTTGAAGCCAATTAAGTTCGAGTGTAGTTTACAACCATATAAATTCTTCTCGTAAACCTGGAACACATAATTTTTTGGCAGATGTCACTGGTATACAATAAAATAATGTCTACTTGATTATAAATCGATCTTAATCTCTCCAATGTATTTGTCTCAATTATTTTGCAATTGACTACTCTTATCATTACCGTTCTTTCGTAACAATCTGTCGAAATTTGATCTTAAACCTATATCCAAACATTCATTTTTTAAAATAAATCTCTTGTGTAATATTTGACAAGTACGAACGATGGCTGACAAAGCTGCTCGTCGTTCCCAATATAATTATCAATCTGTAAGTTCAAAACTTTAATTATACTTTAAGCAATTTCTTAGACACTTCTTTTTACAGAATTCACATCTAGTCTTGCCAATGAATTCATCATTGCATGATCAACATGAACGTAATAAATCTACCGGTGAAGTACAATCACTTGCTGAAGATTTAAAAGACTTTCGAATGGGTGATCGAGTACAACACACACGACCAGAATCTATTAATAAGTTCGTCATTTCATATTTAATGTTTTTTTCTTATTTATTTTATATGTTTTATTTAGAAAACAAAAGAAAGATGAAGATCATTCATCAACATATGATATAAATCGATTTAAAAGGCAAACATTACTTAGTCATTTAACAGATGATACATCGACTATTTTATATCAACCAAAAACTTATGAAACAAAACAAGCATATGAAACTTTACTTAATTTTATTCAAGAAACTATTGGTGATCAGGTTTGTTTCTCTTTTCGAACAAAAACATTTTTTTTTTCATACGATTTCTTCGTTTAATTTAGACACAAACTATTTTACGTAGTGCTGCTGATGAAATATTAATTTTGCTTAAAGATGATAAATTAAATAATCAAGATCGTAAAAAACGAATTGAAACATTATTAAAATCAGGAATTTCTGATGAACATTTTAATTCCCTTGTCAATCTAAGTAAAACAATTACTGATTGGTTATCCAACAATGAAAGTAAGTGCAGTAAAAGAAAATAAAAGGAATATAATCAATATTCTGCCTTTAGATGAAACAATCGATGAAGCAACTGGTGTTCCTATTCAATTTGAAGGTTCAAGTGATGATGATGATGAAAATGAAGATGACATTTCCGATGTTGAAGAAATTCAAATGGATGATAATATTCAAGAAACAAATTATTGCATAAGAGTAAGTTGGGTTTTTTTTTTTTGTTCGATACTAGTTGCAAGAAGCCAATCCTTTTGTCTAATATGTCGACTACAAATAGAACTCAATGAACTCGGATTGTAAGCAGCAACTTGAGTTCGATAGGGTTTACGATGAAAAAATTGATTGTTTTCTAGGATCAAAAGAGATTTTTTTCTCACACTTTTCTGATTTTCCACTATTTAATTGCGTTAACCTCAGTAAGATTCGCACGTATTTCTTGTGTCACAGATTAGGTACTTCAATCTGCTATAATCTTGAAGCGTGAAGAAACTTCGATTGTCTGCGATCGTTTCAGCATGGATCTCTTCTTCATCGATGGCTGTACTCAGAATATTTTGAGGACAAACGTAATTAGAGCAGAACACTTACTAGAGCAAATTTCAAGACGAATGGCTAAAATTAAAGTGTATGGCATGAGATTATTACAGGTGATAGAGGCAGCATTGAGCTGTGGTCGAATAAAGAATCTAACGTCACAAGATTTATTTTCTATAATAAGATATCCCCATCAAAAGAAAAAATCTATATTGACCTTCTAGCTTCTCTGCATGAAGGTTGATCAAGTTCTAATTAATATTTGCGATTAGGTTCGATTTGCTTTACAGGTAGTCAAACTATGTAACTAAAAGATTAAATTTTAGATAAGTTTTACCTGATAGAAGAACTTTTTCGCAACTACTGCATTGTACGCAGATTAAAACAAAAAAAACTTCTCATAATATTTCTTTTTTAGAGTAGTGATTTAACTCGAACAGATAGAACATTACAACCGCATACGATTGATGCATTTTGGCTAGAACGTAATTTGAGTAAAATCTATTCGAATGTTACAGATGCAAAAATCAAAGCTGAAGAAGTCCTTGATATTCTTAAAACAGCATCGAATAATCATGAATTAGAAAATAAACTTATTATTTTACTTGGTTTCGAACAATTTGAATTTATTAAAACATTGCGAATGTATCGACAAATGAGTAAGTTTCTTCTTTTTTTTTTTCGAAAAACAAAATAATAATAAATTTTCATTTTTACTTTTTTAATAGTTCTGTATTGTACTCTACTTGCAAGAGCACAAAATACATTAGAAAAAGCAGAAATTGAAGAATAAATGCGAAATAATCCAGAATTAATATGGATTTTGCATGATTTATCAACATTACAAAATAATCGTGATCAGGAAATCATGCAAATAGACAATCATAATACAACACATCAAATTCTTGATTTGGAAGATTTAACATTTTCTCAAGGAAGTCATTTTATGTCAAATAAAACTTGTCAATTACCAAATGGATCTTTTCGTTTACAAAAGAAAGGTTATGAAGAAATACATATACCTTCTCTTAAACCGTCCCGACCTAATGCCGAAGAAGTAAGTTAAATAAAAAATTTTGTAAAACATAATCTAACAGGAGTGCTGAAGTACTAGTGTGAAAATTTGAATACTCTCATTGTGGTCATGCAGGCAGATATTAACTGAAAAATTGATAATGTACCTTTTTAATGATTGAAATAATGCAACATATACTTTGACATATGGGTAGTTTAATAACATAAAAGTATTTGTTCCTCTTGTTAACATTAGTTGGAAAACAGAGAAAATCCTCGTGAAAAAATACCTCTCACAAGGATTATAGATCTTTTCTTATTGTGAATAAAAAACATCTCTGAGAAAATTATGCATAATCTGAAACTTGTTTTTCACACCTTCCATTTACAAAACAACAACTTTTACGTTAATTTGTTTGAGATTCGAAGAAAAAAGTAATTCTTCCTCAATGCCAAGTACTTTAACGGAAAATATAGGTTCAGTGTCATGAACTTGTACTATTCTCCACAAATCTGAATTGGATGAAACCTTCATCGAGTGTACCTTTAAGCAAGAGGAAAAAAGCGAAACTTCAGTAATAAGAAGTAAAAGTGAAGTACAGTATTTCGAAGTACTGAAGTCTCGCTTTTACTCTCTTGACTTCCATTCATAACACGAATATAGCGTTAGCGCGAGAGTTCCAGAGTTCAGCTAAAGGTTTTCTAGAAAACCCTCGGTTTTTAAGATAAAATATATTTTTCTCGATATAAAAACACTTTTACTAAGGACTAACTTCATATTTTGAATTAGAATAAAAAGTGCATCTAAGTATAGGACAACGTTGTTTCATAGTGGTTTTTGAGTAAAAAGATTTTTCATGTTAAAAAATCACATGTCTGCCTGTTCTATGAAAAAATGCCTATTGTATTCTTTCTCACAGACATTGCCGATATACGATCACAGACTGTATATCAATACCGTTTCGTTCTAATAGATGAACTATTTCCTTATTGCATTGCTTAAGGATTAACTAAAAGAATGATTAAGAAATATATCTCGAAATTGATCGAATAAAACAGTTTTCCTGTGATTAGCAACAGTAGCTACATCGTATTTCATATTTTAATTTTGCAAAGATTCTGTTAATAGCTTTATTTTTTCTGAATAAATTTTAGATTCTTTATCCAATATCAAATTTACCTAAATATGCTCAACCAGCATTTGAAGGTTATAAAGAATTAAATCGTATTCAATCACATATGGTTAAAACAACACTTGAAACTGATGAAAATATTTTATTATGTGCACCAACTGTAAGTTACAAAAAGAAATTATTTCTTATATTAAATTTTTATTATAATTCTAGGGTGCTGGTAAAACAAATGTTGCATTACTTTGTATTCTACATGAAATAGGTAAACATATTATGTCTGATAATAGAATTAATACCGATGAATTTAAAATAATTTATATTGCTCCAATGAAATCACTTGTTCAAGAAATAGTCAATACTTTTACAGAGGTAATTTTTTTTTAATTTTAATATTTAATATGAAACTTGTTTCTTTAAATATTCTTTTTCTAGCGTTTAAATCCCTATGGTATTAAAGTATCAGAATTAACTGGTGATCATCAATTAACTAAAGAAGAAATAAATCAAACACAAATAATTATTTGTACACCAGAAAAATGGGATATTATAACACGTAAAGGTGATGAACGTATATATACACAATTAGTACGTTTAATAATCATTGATGAAATTCATCTATTACATGATGATCGTGGTCCTATACTTGAAGCAATTATTGCTCGAACAAATCGTCTAATTAAAACAACACGAAGTCATGTACGTTTTGTTGGACTGAGTGCTACATTACCTAATTATGAAGATATAGCCGAATTTTTGAATGTAAATTCTATAGGCTTATTTTATTTTGATAATAGTTATCGACCTGTACCACTTGAACAAGAATATATTGGTATAACAGAAAAAAAAGCAATTAAACGTTTTCATATAATGAATGATCTAGTTTATGAAAAAGTTATGGAACATGCCGGAAAAAATCAAGTAAGAACTTTTATTAGTTGATTTCTCTGTTGATATATATTTAATGATTTATGTTTATTTATTTTTTTCAAGGTACTTATTTTTGTGCATTCAAGAAAAGAAACAGGAAGAACAGCACGTGCTATTCGTGATGGATGTATAGAAAAAAGTACCATTGGATGTTTTCTTAAGACAGGTTCAGTTTCACAAGAAACTTTACAAAATACAACCGAATTAACTAAAGTTAGTATGAATGATTTTATCGCTTAGCTTAATTGTTATTAGCAACTTTGCTTATTGTTTTTGTAGACGACGTTCGTAGGATAATCATTTTGAACCACAAAAAAAAATGCAATAGAATCGCAGGAAGGTGATTAGTCGATTGATTTATTTTCTTATTGTCTTTGAGTTTTAATCTACCAGCTCATATATATATATATCACCCATTGTTTTCGATGGAACTTACTGAATTATTATGATCAATTTGATTGTAATACCTTAGTAGTATAACACAAATTGCTAACATTTCATTAGTTTAAGAAAGCATAATCAATAAGGCACTATGATAATTACGTCATATTCTATAAGTTTTATATATTTTCCCAACATGTCTCGATATTTAGCATCTTAAATAACCGTATGTTTTTATTTTACATACTCTAAATTTTTAGAAATTTTGATGTACTATAGTGCGTAAAACAAATAAATGATTTTAATGCTAAAATAAATATTTATCATATAATTATTATTTTTCTATTTAAGAACTTGGAATTAAAAGATCTTCTTCCATATTCATTTGCTATTCATCATGCTGGTATGAGCCGTGCTGATCGAGAATTAGTTGAAGATCTTTTTCGTAAGCGACATATTCAAGTACTCGTATCAACAGCTACACTTGCTTGGGGTGTTAATTTACCCGCACATACAGTTATTATTAAAGGTACACAAATTTATAATCCTGAGAAAGGTCGCTGGACTGAATTAAGTGCACTTGATGTTATGCAAGTAAGTTGTTTGATAATATTGAATAATTTTTTTCTTATTGAATTCTAGATGCTTGGTCGAGCTGGTCGTCCTCAATATGACAAAATTGGTCAAGGTATTTTAATAACTAATCATAATGAATTACAATATTATTTATCATTAATGAATCAACAAGTAAGTAAAAAAGAAAAACTTTGTTCGACATGACAAAAAAAAAAAACTTTCTAATATTTCAGCTTCCAATTGAAAGTCAAATGATATCGAAATTAATCGATAATCTCAATGCTGAAATTGTTCTTGGAACTGTTCAAAATATTCATGAAGCTGCTGAATGGCTTTGTTATACTTATTTATATATACGTATGAAAAAACAACCTCAATTATATGGTGTGTCAAATGAATCTTTACTTACGGACAATACTCTTCTTCAACGACGTTTAGATTTAATTCATTCTGCAGCAATACAATTAGATAAAAGTCATTTAATTCATTATGATCGTAAAACAGGTAATTTTCAAATGACTGATCATGGTCGAATTGCAAGTCATTATTACTGTAGTCATGAAACAATTGCAATGTATAATAAATTACTACAACCAACATTAAATGATATTGAGTTATTTCGTATATTTTCATTATCATCTGAATTTCGTCATATTATTGTACGCGAAGAAGAAAAATTCGAATTAAAAAAATTAATTGAACATGTACCAATACCTATCAAAGAAAATATTGATGAACCAAGTACAAAAATAAATGTACTCTTACAAGCTTATATATCTCAATTAAAACTTGATGGTTTAGCATTAATGGCTGATATGATTTATATAACACAAAATGCTGGAAGATTAATTCGAGCAATATTTGAAATTGTTTTACAAAAACAATGGGCAAGATGTGTAGATAAAACATTAAATTTAGCATAAATGATTGATAAAAGAATGTAAGATAAATAATTTTGTATTAAAAAACAAAAAAAAAAAATTCAACTTCAAATTTTCTTTTCTAGGTGGGCAACTATGTGTCCATTAAGACAATTTAAAAAAATTTCAAACACAATTAATCGTACAATTGAAAAGAAAAATATTTCATGGGATAGATTCTATGATTTAGATGCAAATGAAATTGGTAAGAAATATATTTTATTCAATTATAAATAAACAATATGTTTTTAGGTGAATTTCTTCGTGCACCAAAAATTGGACAAATAATTTATAAGTATATACATTATATACCTAAATTAGAATTAACTGTACATATTTTACCAATAACTCGATCAATGCTTAAAGTTGAATTAACAATAACACCTGATTTTCAATGGAATGAAACAATTCATAGAACAAGCGAAGTATGTTAAGATTTGATTTATAGAGAAAATATTTTATAAAAAATTTATTTTTTAGCCGTTTTGGATTTTTGTCGAAGATGGTGATGCAGAAGTTTTACTTCATCATGAATATTTTCTTCTTAAAAAGTAAGTTTATTTTTTTGTAAGATTTATTACTTACGAAAAGAATCGTCCATTAGAAGTCTGTTAGGTTGAAAATTTTTTACAGCTAAACGCAGAATTTAGATCTAGTGTATTGTAATTTTTTCAATTCGAATCTGCCTGTAAACTCTGAAAATGCGAGAAATTTTTTTCCGATTATTTACATAGAGTAGTTAAAAAAGGTCGTGCACTTTCTACAAAATTTTATCTATTTCTGAAGTGTTTTCATATTCGTGAATAGATATTGAATTGAGTTTCTTAGTTACTACTTTAGCTAAAGTTGTAGCATCTGAATATGTGTATCAAGTTTACTTTTCAAGCAACTGAACAACCAGAAGTCAGAAGGAACATAGCTAATCCTTTTTTTTAAACATTTATTGATATTTCCGAAGGAAATACATGAATAAATAATGGCACACTTCTCATAAAAAAAACAGAAACATTGGTTTTTCTTCGAATGATTGTTTTCTTACTGTTGTTAGAGATCTTTCTTCTTTTGCTAATGCATTAGATTGTTTTTCTGATGATATATCCAAGTTTCATCTCCCCTGACTATATCACACAGTTTCCAGATACTACTTTCAAATTTTTTTTTAAATTTTCAATACTAATATGTGACTTACCATCTATCAAATCTTTAATAGCATCAATATTTTGTTGAGTAACAACGGCTATTGGAAGACTACTTAGAGAATCATCTTCCAATGACTCTCGTCTACTTGAAAATCAATGAATCCAATAGCAATCATACGAAATGAAACATAACCTTGCCTATAAACAGTAGTTAATTCATCATTAATTTGTGTTGCAGTAAGATCTAATAACAAACGAATTTTTATACATGAGCATATATACAGTTTTTCCATTTGAAAATAGAGATAACAAAAGAATTCATTAAGAGTTTCTCATAATAGACACTTGTGAAAGTTCGCATTGGTAATTTAATACACACCAGGTATCTTTACTAGAATAGACTAACATCAGAAACCAGAACAATGAGAATGAACTTGTGGACTGCTGCTACGAGAAATTTTTGACTACCCTATACATTTATCAGGGAATCTTGACGATGACCTCATAAGAATAAAGCTATAGTTGGCTGTTACTTTCAGAGTAGCGTTGTATCGATTAATCCGAAACACAGACCCGAATAAGTCCAGAATTAAGAGATATCAGACCAAGTGTTTCTGATTCCGGTTTCGGTGGTTTCTTTTCTAGTGAACCCAGTACCGATGAGTTTAATTTTTTGGGCCCTGTCTAGAGAAAACTATCGCGGAACTCATTTATATCACATCTAAAAAAGCGCTTTGATACTAACTTTTTTGATTTACTTACTCTACGACCAGCACTTTTTTGAATTATCTTTCTTGAATTATAATCTAATTGACATAATGCACTGAAAACCATGGAATATTTAACTGTATAACTTTACTTCCGGTTGGGACAGTTCTTAGCTTGTAGTCTCGATTTTTGGTCTTAGCAACTTCTCTTTACCGTCGTTTTAGCCCCACAATAGGGACTAAAAGTGGTCTCGGACATCTTTCTTCTGTCGATTGATTCAAAACTTTGATTTATGTTATCTCTCTGAAAATCATAAGTAACATTCAGCTGTTGTTTAACATAGTTTCGTTCGCTTGATTTTATACATAAAGTTTGAATCTTTCAACTTTTGATTGGAGCTTATATAAAATCTTTTTTATTTTTCATCTAGAAAATATTGTAAAGATGAATATTATGTAAAATTTTTCGTTCCAATTTATGAAACATTATCACCACAATATTTCATTCGTGTTGTATCCGATCGATGGTTATCATCCGAAACTCAAATAGCAGTATCATTTCGTCATTTAATCTTACCAGAAAAACAACCAGCACCAACGGAATTACTCGATATACAACCATTATCTGTTAATACATTAAATAATTCAAAATATGAAGAATTATACAATTTTAAAGTTTTTAATTGTATTCAAACACAAGGTAAAAATAAATCGTTTGGTATTGTTTTTTGTTTGTATTTGAATTTATTTTTCTTCCTTCTTGTTTTTAGTTTTTAATACATTATATCATACTGATGAAAATGTATTTTTGGGTGCATCAAATGGCTCTGGTAAAACAATATGTGCTGAACTTGCTATTTTAAGATTATTTTCTGATGAAAAATTAAAAGAAATATCTGAACCTAAATGCGTTTATATAACACCAAAAGAAGAATTAGCTGAAATTATCCGAAAAGATTGGGATAAACGTTTTGGAATAATTGATCGAAAAGTTGTTATGCTTTCTGGTGAAATATCGATCGATCTTAAATTAATTGCAAAAGTATGTTGAAAATATTAAAAAAAAAAAATTTTGAATTCTTTTATTATTGTCAATTTAGGGTCATATTATTATTTCAACACCAGAAAAATGGGATAATTTATCACGTCGATGGAAACAACGAAAACATGTTCAAAATATCCACTTATTTATAGTCGATGATCTACATTTTATCAGTTCAGATAATGGAGTAAGTTTCATTAGTTAAACAAGAATATTTTGTAATGATAAAGACAAAGACTCCCCACCAATCAAAATCATACTAGCTAAGTTCTGCCACAATCCCTTCCTTTGCTAACAAAACCATTGTTACGCCATTAAAAAAAAAGATGTTTCTATCTTCACCAGGGAACAATCAACAGAGTTGTGATATTGATCCAAAGTATCAATAAATCGAATGTTCATTTTTAGCCAATTCATATCTTTTAGTGGTTAAAGTAAAGTGGTCTTTATCAGAGAACAGATAGGGGGTTTTAGAAATTTTATGAAAGAATTTCTCCTTAGAATATGTCGATGTATAGTTTTCAAAGTTTTATTTTATATAAAAAAAGTAATACTATTTTGTTTCTTCTATAAACACTAACAAAAAGAAAACAAGTGAATCCTAATTCACTTGCTTGCTTTCTGCTTCTATAAAATCGCATCAATTTTGATAATTATACATTTACTGGCTGTTGATAACACTGAAATGAACCTTTTTGATAATTCTTTTTCCTCTTCATATATTCAGTTACTTGTTCACATGGTCCATCATCATCTGTAGATGAAATTCCATGATCACAACCCGGGACTCGAACCAATCTGGCGAGTTTGCATCAAAATTTATGTCCCGGGCCGGGCCCTGAGTACTTAACCAGGTTGCAGGACATTATTATTGATAATATCTTGTGATCTATCTTTAATAATCATGAAATATTTCTATTTACTTTTTATGTTTATGAAAATAACGAATACATCGTAGGAAAAGATATCTATTCTTGATTCAAGTCGAAAGCATATTTTAAATTTATGATATTCTGATGTTGCACAAATAATGCGCTAGTTCAATTTTTTTTTTTTGAAGAAGAAGAATATATTTTCTTGAATGATTAAATAAAATATTCATTGAAAATATTTTTTTCTCTAGGCTGTTCTTGAAATAATTTGTTCTCGTATACGTTACATAAGTTCTCAACTCGAAAAAAAAATTCGTATAATTGCATTGTCAACATCAATATTCAATGCTAAAGATATTGCACAATGGCTTGGTTGTTCTACAAATGCAACCTTCAATTTTCGACCAAATATTCGACCTATTCAACTAGATTTACACATTCAAGTAAGTAAATCAAAAAAAAAAAAAAGAAAAATTTTTCTACCTTCTGATGATAATTTATATTTTCTTTTAAAAAAACAAGGGTTTTAATATAACACATAATGCATCACGTTTAATTGCAATGACAAAACCAGCCTATCAAGCAATTGTTCGTCATTCATCAACATATCCAACAATAATTTTTGTTGCATCAAAAGATTTATCACAATCAACAGCTATTGATATCTTAACATTAGCTACTATTGACCAAAAACAAAATCAATTTTTACATATTTCAACAAATGACATTCAATTATATATAGAACAAATTGAAGATCAAATATTAAAACAAACTATTTTACATGGTATTGCGTTTTTACATGAAGGTTTAAATACTAAAGATTGTTCTCTAGTTCAACAATTATTTACTTGTGGTGCTATACAAATTTGTATTATATCATATAGAATGTTGTATACATTAAATATTTATTCATATTTGGTAATTATCATGGATACACAATATTATTATGGTAAACAACATATATATGATGATTATTCAATAAATGATATTTTACAAATGATAAGTCGATCGAATATTTCATTAAAAGAAAATAAAACAAAAGTTATATTAATGTGTTTATCAACTAAAAAAGATTTTTATAAAAAATTTCTTTATGAATCAATACCAATTGAATCTCATCTTGATTATTATTTACATGATTGTTTTAATGCTGAAATTGTTACAAAAACAATTGAAAATAAACAAGATGCTATTGATTATTTAACATGGACATTACTTTATAGACGTATGACATTAAATCCAAATTATTATAATTTACAAAATGTTTCACATCAACATTTATCTGATCATTTATCGGAATTAGTTGAAAATACATTACAGAATCTTGAACAATCAAAGGTAATAAAAAAGAAAAAGAAAGATATGAAAAAAACAAATGCCTTTCTAGAGATTCGATCAAGTTCTGAAACAAAAAAAATTTGTCTTATCATCATTTAGAGATTCTAAAAAAGGGATTTGTACCTTGTGGAAGTGATTTCAAGCTTTTCATTCAGTTACAAGAACGTTTTTCTTTTGTATCCCCTTACATTGCTATCGAATGATTTTAGCTTATATATTGATTTATTTTTAGTGTATTACAATTGAAAATGAAGTAGATTTGTCATCATTGAATCTTGGAATGATAGCAGCTTATTATTATATTAATTATCGAACAATTGGTAAGTAATTCAAAAACATAAAATTCTAAATAAGACGTTCAATTTCTTTTAGAATTATTTAACAAATCATTAACATCAAATATTAAGTTTCATACGTTGGCTGATATTATTTCTAATGCTGCTGAATACGAAGATATTCCGATTCGTCGTAATGAAGAGAATATCTTAAAACAGGTTTGAAATTATTTGAAAAACTTTCTTTTAATCATTTTTTTTTTATTTTGTTTTAGCTTTCGACACATTTACCAAATAAATTAACTAATGTAAAATTCAATGATCCACATGTAAAAACTAATCTTTTACTTCAAGCATATTTGTCACGTATTAAATTGTCATCTGAACTTCAAAAAGACACCGATGAAATTTTAATCAAAGTAAAACAAAACAAAACTTTATTTTTCTCTATTTAATTTGTTTTTTCTTTTTCATAGGCTATTCGTTTGATTCAAGCATGTGTTGACGTTTTAAGTTCTAATGGTTGGTCATCATCAGCATTAATAGCTATGAATTTAATACAAATGGTAACACAAGCTATGTGGAATAAAGATTCTTATTTAAAACAAATACCACATTTTACAAATGAAATTATTCAACGATGTATTGATAAGGTTTGTTTCGATTATTTTTTAAATTTTTGTTTTATACGATTTTTTTTTATTTTATAGAAAATTGAAAATATTTATGACTTAATTGAAATGCAAGATAATCAACGCATGGAATTACTTCAATTAAATACATTAGAATTATCTGATGTTGCTCATTTTTGTAATCATTATCCAAATATTGAACTATCATATGAAATTCCTAATAAAGATAATATAATAACTGGTAGTTTAATTAATGTGAATGTAACATTAGAACGTCTTAATGAACTGTCTGGATCAATTATTGCGCCATTATTTCCACAAAAACGTCAAGAAGGATGGTGGTTAGTTATTGAAGATTCAAAAACAAATACTTTATTATCAATAAAACGTTTAACAATACAAGATAAAACTGAAATTGTTTTAGATTTTATTGCACCATCAATGGGTATATATGATTACATACTTTATCTGATGTCTGATTGTTATATGGGCTGTGATCATGAATATAAATTTTCCATTACTATTTGAAAGCAGATTGATATGTAATCGTGATATTATTTTATTGTAATTTTTTATACAAGAAAAATAATAAAAATAAATGCATTTCTTTATTTTTGCTGATTTTATTTTATTTTATTTTATTTTATTTTATTTTAGAATTGTTCTTTTCTCGTTTTGAGTTGTAAAAACAAAAAGAAAGAAAGAAACAAACAAAATTTTTCTAGCCAATGTAATTAGTGATGATGATGATAATTGTTAGGAATGAATGAAACATTAAAAGAACTATTTGAAGCTTGTCGGAATGGAGATTTAGTTAAAGTTAAAAAATTAATTTCACCAGAAAGTATTAATGCACAAGATGTACTTGGAAGAAAATCGACACCTCTTCATTTTAGTTCTGGTAAGAATGACAAATACATAAGATCTGTTATTCATGACATATATTTGTTAAACTAGTTTAAGAAAATAAAGAAGAAGATTAAAGGTAATATTTCGAGTAGTTAAATTTAAAGTTGCTTCCTCTCACTCAAAAATCAGTTGACAATAGAATCCGATCAATGGAAGTACACAAATAAAAACATGTAATGACTCTAAACCTTAATGTTCAGAAAATATCCAGAGGTCAAGGTGAAAAATCGAGCTTTTTAATGTGCCCATTCTTTTTTCAAAACACTTCAAACTATTATGCTCTCGGGCTACTCTCATTGAATGAAAAATTCTTACTGCTTATGTTTTATTTTGTTTTGGGATTTCTTAAAACTTCAAAAGTCCAAGGCAATATTATGATTGCTTTAACATTGAGATTCTCATCGAATAGAAAAAAATTGCAGTTCATTAGAATAAATTATATTGAGAAAAAAAACTTTTTCAGAGTTTGGCTATCAATGCAGAAACCAATTTGGAGAAAAATGTGTGAACAGTTTTTTTTGTATATTTATCCGAAGAACTTTCTGATAGTAGCATCAAATATAATAGTATTTTATATCAATTAAAACCTCATCTCGAGTCTTATTGAGTGGCTTTCAAGCCATATGTTCGGTCATGATGTAGGGCAATAACTACAATTGCGCTTATAATTTTTATATGGGACTGACTATTAGCTTGTTTGCTAGAGAGCTCTAGAAACTCATCATGAATTTTGAAGAATCATTTTTAAATCGGATATTATTTTCATGAATTTAGAAGGAAGACAATTCAGAGATCACGCCGGTATGTTTATCTGAAAAATTGTTTTTGTTGAAAGAAATCGTTTTTTGTTTTGGAGGGAGCGACCTCAGTAACATGAAACACAGTAAGTTTTTATCGAAATCATAGAATATTTTTTTATTGAATACCATTAGAATTAGGGAGCTGTAGATTCACGTTTTTGTAGACCGGGATCCGACCCAGACCCGAGCTGGGAAAGATCTACTGCTCGATTATTAGAATTATATATAAAATAGAAATTTCTTCTTCGTATTTTTTTTTGTTCCTTAAATTATATGATATTGTAGGATTTGGTCGTAAGGATGTAGTCGAATATCTTTTAAATCAAAATGCTAATGTTCATATGAAAGATGATGGAGGTCTAATTCCATTACATAATGCAGCAAGTTTTGGTCATGCTGAAGTCGTTCAATTGCTCCTTAATTATCATTCCGATGTAAATGCATTAGATAGTTGGAATTTTAGTCCACTTGCAGAAGCAGCTAGTAAAGGAAAAGTCGATGTGTGTCTTAGTAAGTATTTTTTTTTTTCTTAATACATTTGTATATTAAATTGACTAATTTATGAAACATAGTTCTTTTACAACATGGTGCAGATCCAAATATAAAAAACAGTGATGGAAAAAGTGCACTTGATCTTGCTGATTCATCAACTCGACCAGTATTAACTGGTAAAATAATATTTTTTATTTATTCGATCATAATTTATCCATTGCTATTATTATTTTAATAATAGGTGAATATCGAAAAGATGAATTACTTGAAGCAGCTCGATCAGGTAATGAAGAAAAACTATTAAGTTTATTAACATTGGCTAATGTTAATTGTCATGCAAGTGATGGAAGAAAAGTATGTTAAAATTTTTCATAGCAATATAAACTAAAATGTATAAAAAAATTTCGATTATCTTTTCTAGTCAACTCCATTACATCTAGCTGGTATTTTTTAAACAATCAACAACAACAAAAAATTGATTTATCTTGTTTTTTCTGTTTATAGCTGGTTACAATCGATTAGCAATTTGTAAAATCTTACTTGAACATGGTGCTGATGTTCTATGCAAAGATAAAGGTGGACTAGTAAGTTATCGGATAGTATGCTTGTACTGAAAACAAAATCAATGCAAAATTTTTGTACTAGCTCTTATTTGATAAATTTAAAATACATTTATTTAGGTTCCATTACATAATGCTGCTTCATATGGACGTAAGTAATATTCAATCTATCGTATTTTCATTCATTATTTTCCATTTTAGATTACGAAGTTGCTGAACTCTTGATTAAAGTAAGACTTCTTATTTTGTTTAAAATTTAAATATGATCATGTATTTGATAGCATGGTGCTCATGTAAATGCTTGTGATTTATGGCAATATACACCTATACATGAAGCTGCTTCAAAATCACGTATTGATGTTTGTACTCTTTTATTAAGTCATGGAGCTGATCCAACATTAGCAAATTGTCATGGTAAAACAACACTTGATGTTGCTGCTAGTCGAGAACTACGTGATAGAATTTTATGTAAGTTCAAAATTAATATTATTAAATTTTTTTTTTTGGATAACAATTCTTCTTCTAGATGAATATAATGGATATTCATTTCTTGATGCAATACATAATGGAGATATGAGTCGTGTTAAAAAACTTTTAACTAATGAAACAGTTAATTTTCGACATTTTAAAACAGGAGATTCACCATTAGTAAGTTCTATGATTAATAACAATAACATATAAATCTATTGGTCTGTAGCATGTTGCTTGTACATCATCAGCAGCAAAACATCGTCGTCAAATTTTTGACATATTAATTCGACGTGGCGCTCTTATTAATGCTTTGAATACAGCGTAAAGAATTTTAGAATACATTAGTGCACAAAAGTTTTTCATTTCCCGCATCTCGACTTCTATAATTGTTAGAGGTTCGAAAATTTGTGTGTACATAATGCACTAAGAATTTACTACTGAAGCATGAGATAATCCCGATTGCTTAAATAAAACGAGAATTATGATGATGGACGTCTATCTTTGCTTCAAGCTTTTATCCTAGAAAAAAGATGGTCTAATAAATTTTTTTCGTTACCTTTGATGAAATAATATTTTAGCATGCAAGCAGAGCACAGCCTATGCTCTTTTTAATCAAAAGATTAGGTAATTTAATCGAAGGCTGCTATTTCTGCATGTTTGTGAGTCCTTCGTACCAACAAGATTAGCATTCATATGGTATTTTCATTTAGTTGAATGTTCCTTCATGAAACTTTAACTACAAACAAAGCTTGACCATGGAAAAATAGCTACAATTCTAGGAAGGGTTGATGAAATTCGATGAAATTAGTACGATAGATAACCTAAACAAACTACTAAATAATGAAGAATACACCAACACACAGAGTTTTTCTTTTTAAGAGTTATAAATTTTAAGGGATAAATAGAAGCGATTCATCACTATCCATTATTTAAACAATCAAGATAAGCTTCTGTCTCAGACCTACATTCTTAATAGAATATGTGTACACAGATTTTCAAACCTTCAGCATGTATAGTAGCCGACAGACGGAGTTTGGAAGATTTTTGCCTCATTACTGTGATTTTTGTTGATTTTATTTTTAATTTTTATATTAGACAAATGACTCCTATTCATATATGTGCTGCAGCTGATCATGGTGATCTTTTAGAAATTTTATTAAAACATAATGTTGATGTAAATATATTAATCTTTTTTTTTTTTTAGTTTATTTTTTAAATAAATATTTGAAAATTTATAGATTAATTTACTTGATGATCAAGGACAAACTGCATTACATCATGCAGTTAAAAATGGACATTTGAATGCTTGTCGATTTTTAATTACTCATAAAATTGATACTTCAATTGTATCATCTTATGGACAAACAGCATTAGATATGGCTTCAGTATCGAATATTCAACAATTATTAATGAGTAAGTAATTAGAAAATAAATTTTATTTTAATAAAATTAAATTCAATAATTAGCATATGAAAATGAAAAAGTTATATTAACACCAAATATAACCGATCTTCAATTACAATTACTTGAAGCATCAAAATCCGGTGATCTTGATGTTGTTAAGGTTTATTACTTAATTTCATATAAAATTTTGTCTCTTTATCGAGAGCTTTGTTTTTCTTTTGTTTAAGCGTGTACTCACTTTCAATCCATCATTAGTTAATTGTCGTGATGTCCAAGGTAGAAATAGTACTCCACTTCATTTTGCTGCAGGATATAATCGTATACAAGTTGTTGAATATTTATTAGCAATGGGTGCTGATGTAACAGCTAGAGATAAAGGTAATGAAATCAAAATTAGTTTTTTATTTTTCTAAAACAAAAATTCCATTATTTATATTGACAGGTGGTCTTGTTCCTTTACATAATAGGTATTACACAAAAGTTGATTCTATTATTCATGAAATTAATTTATATATGTCTTTTATTTCTTCTAGTTGTAGTTATGGTCATCTTGAAGTAACAGCACTTTTACTTAATAATGGTGCATCATCTCAAGTAACTGATTTATGGAAAGTCACACCATTACATGAAAGTGCAGCTAAAGGAAAATTTGAAATATGTAAATTACTTATTAAATATGGTGCTGATATAAATAAAAAAAATCGTGATGGTGCAATACCACTCGATTTAGTTAAAGATCGTGATAGTGATGTAGCTGATTTACTTCGTGGTGATAGTGCTATTTTAGAATTAGCTAAAAAAGGAAATTTAGAACGATTAAGAAAATTATTAACACCAGAAAATGTTAATTGTCGTGATCCATTAGGACGAAATAGTACATCATTACATTTAGCTGGTAAATAAATATAAATATTTTTTTTGCTTTTCTGTAAAGCTTTTAATTTTTTTTTCCTAGCTGGATATAATCATTATGAAATAGCACAATTTTTATTGGAAAATGGTAGTAATCCAAATGCTGTTGATAAAGGTGGATTAATAGGTAATTTAGATATTTAATTTCTAGAATTAAATCCACTTTCTGAAGCCGGTTGAGTACAGAATTTTCGGATCCAATAGAACTGAACTTTGATACTCACAATGAGATTTTTCTAATCGAAACTAGATAGTCGTCCCCAAGACACTTTTTTCTCTTTTTTTTGTATTCGGTGACTAACGCGCAACGGGTTCAAAATATATGATGACCTTTTCGGGAGATATTCAACAAACAAGGGTTACGAATATTATGGTGAAAAAATTTTTAACCACGATGTATTGTTTTTCTATAATATTAAACATCTAGCCCAAATTCAGATAGTGATTTTAATAGTCAATGGAGTTTCCTATCTAATACATTTGTTAACAAGATTTTATGGACGAATTATGAAAGTGAGGTTTCGAATAAACCAGACATAGTAGTTTTCAAGTCCTACAAGCTATTTCTTAACAATGTTATTTTAAATTTCGTTCAAAATTTTACGATCTTTACGCAGACATTGTTAAAAGATAGTATTCTAGAACCTGAAAACTACCGTGTTTGATTTCTTAGCTTCATTCTATATATTTAATTTGTTTTTGTTTGAAAGAGCATGTCAGATTGTAGGGCATAACAGCGTCTTTGTTTTACTTACTTGTTATGTAAAGCAAAAGGATAACAAGCTCAGTACCTCGAAAAGCTCTTAAGAAAATGTTCATCTATTTATAGAAATGCTTTTTTGTTTTTATAAAAGATAAAACAGACATTACAGCTTCACATGGTCTTTCAAAAAAAAAACAAGTAATTTGTTACAGTGAAATCCTTCGATAATTCTAGGATGCACTATCAGAAAAGCATAAACAGAGGAGAAAAGACATCACTTTTTTTCTGAGAAAACTCTAATTTTCAAGAGGAAACTAATGAAAATCCTCTAAAGGGGCAAAAAAACGAGATATCAATTAGGAAATCATTTCATTTGTCAAAGATCACACCTCAGGCTATCTTCTCATACATTTATGTTAATTTGCATTTTTTTTTGACGAAAATTGATTGGTTTTTTAGAGGCAAAGGGTCTTAATTTTATTATTTCGTTTTTCTTAGCTCTTCATAATGCATCTTCATTTGGTCATGTTGATGTTGCTACTTTATTGATTAATTATCATTCCGATGTTAATGCTCGTGATAATTGGTCATATACACCTTTACATGAAGCAGCATCTAAAGGTCGTACTCAATTATGTTCTTTATTACTTGCTCATGGTGCAAATCCATATCTTCGAAATCAAGATAATCAAACTCCATTAGATTTAGCTACCGCTGATGATGTTAAATCGTTACTATTAGATGCAATGTCAACTCCAGTAACTCCACCATCACCAACTGATAGTCATTGTCGAACAACATTAACACTTGCAACTCGTGAAACAACATCAATACTGGGTGCAGAAACTAATAATAATAATAATAATATTAATTCAAGACAACGATTATCATCTGCGTCAAGTTTACAACAATCAACTATTCAACGTCATTTACCTATTGGTGATGGTAGTATGAGTTTGATAACAGATGATGAACGCCGAGAACAAGCACTTCATATGACAATGGATGAATTTTTAAGTTTATGCCAATTTCAATTGAGTCAACAACAAGATTCTTTAAGAGAATTATTTGAACGTGAACATATAACACTTGATATACTTGCTGAAATGACACATAATGATTTGAAAGATATTGGTATTGTTGCTTATGGTGAACGACATAAATTACTCAAAGGTATTGAACGATTATATAAACAAGCAAAAGATCCATGGTCAAATATACCTGATAGAGGATCAATTTTTATTGAACTTGATTCAAATGATCAAGAATATCGACTTGTTGAAGATGCAGTAATTTAAAAAGTCTTAATATTAAAATTTAAGTTTATACATTTTTGTTTTGTTCTAGTTACAAAGTACTATTCGTGAACATAAAGATAATTGTGGTGGAATATTTACTCGTTATGTAGTATTAAAAGTAATCAAGATTTTATAAAAATAAGATCTATAAAAGAAATATTAAAGAATAGAAGTAATGATTTAGATTCCCTCACGTCACAGACCATGACATATGTTAATAAAATGTGACTGAAAAAAAAAGTTTAACAATAACGAATTTTTTTATTTTTTTCCTATAATGTTAAGTACCTAGCTCAAATCTAAATAGTGATTTTCACACCTCCATTAACTATTAAAGCCACAATTTAAATTTGAGTTAGGTGCTTAACATTATAGAACAAGCATCAATAACTTTTTTCTACCGCCTTACGTATATTAATAACGTCTCATTATATAAACTACTTTCTTATTGTATTTCTCGAAGATGACGTAAAAGGATGATTAAAAAAAAATATATCAGCAAAAAGAATAAAACAAAATAATCGCCGTGTAATTAACAAGAGTAGCTACATCGTGTTTTACATATTAAATCCGCATAAATTGCTCTAACAACTTTTATATTTTATTTTAAATTAGATTGAAAAAATACGTAATCGGCGTTTATGGGATCGTTATTGTCATCGTCGAAATGAAATTCAAGAAGATAATAATGGTCATGAAAATGAACGTTTACTTTTTCATGGTTCACCATTTCTTCATTCAATTATGCACAAAGGTTTTGATGAACGACATGCATCTATAACTGGCATGTTTGGTTAGTTCAAATATTTCTGTTTATGTCTTTCAATGACAAAGATTTTTGTTTTGTTCTATAGGTGCAGGTATTTATTTTGCAGAAAATTCTTCAAAATCAAATCAGTATGTTTATGGTATTGGTGGTGGAAATGGATGTACATTACATAAAGATAAATCATGTTATTTATGTTCAAGGTGAAACAAAAACGAAATTTTTCGATTTAGTTTTTTATTTAAATAAATTTGTTTTTAGACAAATGCTACTATGTCGTGTTTGTCTCGGACGATCATTTTTACAATTTAGTGCATCGAAATTAGCTCATGCACCACCTGGCCATCATTCAGTTATAGGTCGGCCAACACAAGGTGGTCTAGCTTATCCCGAATATGTTATTTATCGTGGTGAACAAGCTTATCCTGAATATTGTATTACATATAATCTGTTAAATCCAGTGAATAACGACAATGAATAAATGCTTTTTTTTCCGATATTGTATAAAGGCTAAATTTGACATATATGTAAAAGAAGGGGCGATGTTTTTTTCGAATAAATACAGATGTTTCACTTTTATGTTAAAGTGAATTTTTACGTTCATTTAGAATTCCAAAATGCACCATCATTTCATTTGGATCATTATCATCGAATTGTAACGGTTCTATTTCTCTATGTTCGCGAGGTGCAGCTGGTAGAGTAACAAGAGTTTGAAGAATACTATATTTATGTATTTCCTCCGGTGTTGTCGATGATGTTTGACTATTACGCCATTTTTGTAAAGTATTTTCAATTTCAACCAATGCCATTGCAATTCCAGCTCGAAATTGTCGTTTACGAAATGTAAAAATAACATGTGAACATCCAAGAAATATGAAAACAAGGATATACAATGTAAGAATAAGAAAATGAGTACGATATGCATTAAAATTAACACATGCTATTATTGCTGCTGTATTATTTTTATTTCCATATGCTTCATCATGATGGGATGTTTGTTTTGAATGTTCCGAACAAATTATAGCACATATTCTATAGTTTCCTTCAGATAAATGTTTTAATTCAAGTGAATTTCTCCAAAAAGTTAAATTTTGTTCTGGCATCGAATATGGTTTTTCACGATTACGACGAATTGTAAATTTATACATTTGACATGTTCGATGATAATTTTCTTGAGCTATTTCAAATTGTACAGTAGCCGTATGAGTATCATGTATACGAGCACGAAGATAAAATGGTTTTTCAATTATAATTTCTTTACTACTTCCTAAGACTTGCGTAGGATAAATAAATATAAAAATAATAAGTAACATTATCATTATTCAATTGTTTTTATTTTTCTTTGCTACATCGACTGATACACTAAATAATATATAAGTAACGAGTCTGTTGTCGCTATAATACACAAGATATACATTTGCACTGTACAAGAAAATAATTCATTATTTCTTTTTCTCTCTGGCTTTTTTTTTTGTTCTATTCTATTCCCTTTATGCTTATTCATGCTAATATATACCATAAAAAGTAGTAAACAAAAGGGTAAAGAAAAAAGATACATGGAAAGTGGCCCAAAATTTGCTTTATTGGAAATTAAAAAAATTCCATATCATTGCTTCATTTTGATCCAAAGAGTCGGCTTTTTTTTGTTCACCATTGATAGAATAATATTCATAGTTCATATTCATAAAGAATAATATCAAAGGAAAAAAAACCTCTTCGAAGTTAGTATATTTGACCTTACTCGAGAATTATACTCTTAGGTCAATAATGAAAGGCATTATTATTGTTTACTATTTGAACTTTTTAAGTGTATAGAATAACAAGAGACATAAACTTGAGTTATTAGTTTGAGATTGAATGACAAAAGTATGAGCAACTAATAATAATAATAATAATAATAATAAATTAGATGTACTCTTTATTTTTTGAATAAAGGAATAAATAACTTCTACAGCTTATCAATAATCAGGATTCTTTATTAAACACAAAATTCACACATTGAAGCTGGATTTTCCATGTTGGTTATATGAATATGAACTATATACACTCCTTCGTCAATAATGAAAAAATAAAAAGATGCATTTGACTGAATTATAATAATGAGATTATAAATATTTTTGTTAGTTTAGTAAAGTGTCTTATGAATCATTTGATACATATTTCAACAATCCGGTTTTTTTTGTGGTTCAAGTTTATAATATTATTCATTTTGTTTTTTGGCTTGTTCATGTTTTTTCATTTTATCAGTTAATTGACGATTATCTTTTTCTTCTAATTGTTTGGCTTGTATAAAACTATTTGTTTGATGAATTGCATCTAATTCCGATGGTGTTAATGAACCACGATGAGATTGATTATTTGTAAAACCTGAATCAATACCAGCATTTATATTATTACTACGTCCATCCAAAGAATCAGTAGCAGCACGATCACTTGGTGCTTTGTATGACATAATAATACACAAAATATAACACACACAAAATTCTAATTCTACTAACAAACAATGTTTAATATTTAAGCTTGTCACTTTAATTCTGCAAGCTTCAATAAAGAAGAAAAAAAATATGTCTAAGATAATAATCAGAAAAAAAATTATACCGTGGCTTGAATGAATATGAAAAACGTTCTGTTCTCATGTACTTATTGATATTATTGCCTTTACTGTCAACAAGCATTCTTCTCTCTTCATGCAATTGACAACGTCGACATCCACATATTCACTGGCCGCTGTCTACAGAAAGAAAAAAAACAGGAAAACAATAAGATAAGAACGAGCGGGCTTCCTCATTTTTCTTTCGTTAAGTTGCACGTCCACAACATGCACGTAAATGACGTTTTGGTGTTCTCCAAGGCTCCTCACAGTATGACTGGCAACTAAAAAGAAAATGTTAGAAATATACAAAGGAGGAAGACACAAAAAATGACGCAGGAAGAAATATTAACGAATAATCAAGAAAAGAAAGCAAATTTCGTTTTGATTTCAAAAAATATTGTTGATATAATATTACCAACAAACGAAAGTCACAATTACAAAAAATACGCAGTTCATGTATATATTTTTAGTATAAAAAAAAGATAAAATAACAAGTTTATATGGTACATAATTCAAGACTCTTATATCAATGTACTTTGATTAATATGATTTTTGTTTTCTATAGAAACAATATTTACAAACAATTGTTCTTGTCTTTTTGAATCTATATTTTGCCCTATAGAAAGAAAAAAGATATATGTATATAGCAGATAAGAACGAATTGTCTACCATGACAATCATCGTATTACTGATAGAGCACTATGAAATCGAACCTGTTGACTCCAACTCTTCTAGCATTTTCTGTTGGAGTTCGACCTCGAGAAACGTTGAATTTTTTTTGACTTGTGTTTATACTTCTTTTTTTGGATACTTGTTAATGAGCATGTTTTTCTGATACTTTCTTTTTTCTTGAAACTTGCTTATATATTATATTACGTTGTGTATTTTTGTTTAGCACTTAACGTATGACAAATAAAAAATGTTACTATGAAAATGTAAGAAATACTCGACTGTTTTTATTTATGTAAATCTGACTCGGAAAAAAATTCTTTCAATGACGGAGTGGGATTTCGGAATTCGATTCAGGACTCTAATTATTATTGTTTTCCTTGTGTGAGTTATAAATAGAACGTTGCATGCAATTGGAAAAGTTTTATTTTTGCTAATTATTTTAAATCATAACTGGTATAAATTTCGGTTTAATATATAGGCATATCTAGATAATCAATTTTTTTTTTATATTTTGAAAATCAGTGAAGAAAAAATGAAAATATATGATTTATGCACAACTCGATGAATCTGTTAAAATATCATTGTAATTTCTTAACTTTTGAATTAATTCAAACAACTAACATAAAATGATGAGTAAATAAATGTGAAGATTTATGTGCGTATGATAATATTACCAATGTATTCTGAATTTATGACTCTTTATTGCTAATCTATGTTACAATAAAAAAACAAAAATAATCTTTTTGTTCTTATTTATTAATAATGGAACAGCTGATGTTTTTCATGTATTTATATTTAGAAATAGATATTCTGATTATCTATTGTCATATTTTGTTGTTTGAGAATTCCATCACTGGGCGATAGTACCAAAATGAATATCTTTTACTAATACAATCTTTTTCTATAAAAATCAAAGCAAATCATCTAATAGAATCTATTTACTAACTAAAACCAAATGTTTCAAGTTCGAAATCATCAATATTTTTACTATGATTAGGCACTAAATTTGAAATATCAATTTATAAGTCATATATCTTTTTTTTATGAAAAATTGATTATCAAATATCTTGCATTCTCTCGTTTTTTCGTAATAGTAGATCAATATGATATAATTTTCTGTAACTTATACTTTATACTTCTAGGTTAAAGGAGTTCAACCTATCCGACTAGACTGCATTTTTATTCAGTCTGTGTCAAAATTGTGATTTTTGAAAATTTCTTGAATCATAATACTGTCTAAATATCTTAGCTATCAAATTGAACTCCTTATTATGTACTACTGTGAAAATCAATTATGCTAAAATATTGAAAAAAAGATTATTTCAGCATTATCTTATGATGTAATAGTTAATTGTTTGTACTTATATTTACGGAAACTATTTATACATCAGATAAACTTGCAATAAAATTGTCGAGTTAATCAATGGTTGAATTCTTGATAAAATATAATCTTACACACAAATTTTCTTGAAAGAGATTTTAAGAATAAAGAAATCCATCAAGAAAAAGATAAACTTTTATTTGTCAAACATTTACTCCTCTAATATAAATTAGAATCAGTGAGTAAGATTTTACTCTTCAAGAGGAAAATAAAAAAATAATCGAACAATTCATAATAAAAGCTTCAATTCAGATGAATAAGTCAAACGAATATAACAAAAAAGACGGAAGATGCTATTAGCAAACTGCAAATCATTACAAACTAGCATATATTTTTCTAATATATGCAGCATGTGAATTTCAAAATTAACATTTTTAGATCCACAGATTTTCATGAGATTCTTTCAAAACTAAGTTTGGTGAAAATGTGGAACAAAGAATAACATCAAATGCAAAGGTAACTGCCAATATTCTTAACCTATAGTTTTACGTTCAGAAACATCGTAGAGAGTTCAGTTTTTTTATACTGAAAGAGTAAAGTATGAGTTAAAAAAACATAGGAAAAAATTTTTGGGATTAACTTTGAACGACAAAAAAGTTCTTGTAATTTCTGTCCTTCTTGAAATGTATCTTTTGCAACAAGCCTATTTGTTTTTTTTGTGACAGGTTACGCTTGAAATGAGATACTTATAGAAAAAATTATGTTTTGATCCACTTTACGATCGAAATGCTTTACAAGTTTTTCATTGATTTCAAAAAATAAGCCATCTAACTTAAGCAATAGTTTCCAGATACGAAAAGAATTTTCTTTCTTTTTTTCGAACATATTTTCTGAAATAGCATACAATGATCTACAAGTTCTAATTAATTTTAACATTTACTAACATGTTAGAGTCCTGAATAATGAAATTTTCGCAATATCCTATCTGTCCCATGCAAAGTAGTGTTTTCAATGAAAACAAAGATGTTTTATTTACTATTAAGAAATTCTTGAGAAACTTTTTAAAGTATGAAAGTTGATAAAGTTTCATAAGGACTGCTTTCTCATCTATTTGGTTTGCAAGAAAAATGTTTTTTTCAGACTGGAGAAAAAATATAAGAAAAATCGGAGTATTACAAGAACTCTTTTGAATATGTTTAATATCAAACTGTTTCGTTTTTTTTTTTGAATTTCACACTGGACTCTTTCAATAGGGAAAACAGTCAACTTTCTATAATGTTCTTAACAGAGGTGGAGACGGGGAAGAAAGCGGTTAATTATCATATCACCTATACGCAATGCCATGTAGTTCAGCAGCTGTCAAAAGAAAGTATTCGGCAGCAGGTCAATTGATCAACTAAAGAAAACCTAATTTAGGTCTACTTTACTTTTACATGATGTTGCAACAAAAAACAAAAGAAAGGCTGCAGATAATTTTTGAATTGATATTCTTTTATTTTGCATACAACTGAAAGAGTTTGCTCTTTTATTATAAATTTCTTGACTATTTTTTTTCTCATCGACTAAATTTCATAGATTCCTGTTAAAGTAATGACTTAAATGAAATGATTGTTATGATCAGCACTCGAGTTGAAATAAAGGCATTATTATCTCAAGATAAACACGATATTTCATTCATAGTTTCAATTATAAGTAACTAACAATCGATCTTCTATTAACGCTTATGATTACAGCTCTGTTTGAGAGCGTATCAAAAAATAACTCTTAAACTTTTCTAACGACGATTGATGAATATTTCACGAATATAACATTTGATTTCAATACAATATCCAAGGTTTGTGAGCATCATGAAATCTGAGTTTTAATGATATTTTAACATTTATCTTTTTGCGAAGTTTTTGTTATAACTGGAAAATTTTGCACATGTGAATGTAAATAGAGTCAGATTGTGTAATAATAGGGCGAAACATTTTCAGTGGAGTTGAATACTAAAGTCCAACTCTATAAAATTTCTTTCTGATAAAATGGTGCATTGTGATAATAAAAATAAAGTTGAGATCCGTATGTATGTCATCTTTTAGCAAGAGCGAAAAACAAAAAAGAACGAGTTCTTTGCTTTTTTTTTTCATCGAGTAACAAAAATAGTGAATATGTGATAAAAAGTGCTACATATAACCATGAATGTCAATCTTATCTTAAGACAAAAGGGTGAATGTTCTCAAAAATATTAAAGTTCTTTTAGTCTGTTAATGTTTACGTTATTTTAGTATATCACTTTCGAAATGTTGGTAATCTTCACTTAAACTTTAACTATGTCTTCAATCAGTCATTTGATTAAACTTTCGAGTGTAGCTGACAGTCGTATTAAATCATGGATCGACTTGCGAACACTGTGGTTCATCATATTGCATGCATATAGCGGTAGGATATAGTGCTTGCCCAAAGAGCAAGTCGAAAAAAAGTGCACAATGTTTTGGATTCTGAAGAGATTTGAAAGTATATTATATGTTAGAACTAAGCTAAACTATTACTACATGTGATCAGAACGAACTCATATTTCTACATAGATCGCTCTTCTCAGTGTTTGTGGAAACAAAGCAGAGGAATTTCAAAATGCGTTCTTTCTTGTGTTACATCTGTTTCAACGAAAGAAAAACATTTGTCCTCTTTTGTATTTCATGATGATGACTTGTTTTTCAGAACTTTGCTCACATTTATCTATTTTAAAACTAATTACAGATATTAAACATAAATGAGTGCCAATACTACTCCATATGATCCTTCGATTGGTAAGACTTTAAAGGATTTTGTACAATAAGAGTTGAAATTTATTATATCCCCTCAAGTATTTAAAAATATACACTTCATGAAAGAGCATGTTGTTCAGCATCTTTTACTGTGGTGAAAATTATATTTATGATTGATGATCAGCTGATATGACATACTGGCTTGTGTATTGGAGGTACATGTCATTTCTTCTACAAAGCTCACTTATTCACAAAACTTTTGAACATTTTCCGAAAGTGAAATTTTTCACGATTAGACGATAAAATATTCTGTTTTCGGTTAGTTTTAGCCATGGCTTCGAGTATTTCTTGTCTCGCAAATGGTCGAAGTCGTGCCTGTAACGAAACGAAAAAGGTGTGTTTTATCAGATAAAGATAAAAAATTTCAAGTTCGAATAATTTTCAAAAGTTTTTGAATAAGTGCGCTTTGCAGAAGAAATGATGGCACAATTTTTCAGAAAGTCTCGCGAAGGGCTTTATTTCTATTTCCGAGGAAAGCAGAGAGCACTTTTTTGAAGTATTTGCAAGCATATTGTTTTCATGTTATTCTGACCTATATATTTCTCAAAAAAAAAAAAGAAAAAGATCTTATCAAGTATCTATATGTGTTTTGTAGAACGAAGAAAAGTACATCTAATTACAGTATGCAATATCGAAAATATTTACAAACAAAAAATTTCCTTAATGCCAATCTTTAACTGTACATATATCTTCGATATACAAGCTAGTGACTCATGTCGACTTCTCATCAATCATAAAAATCCGATTCACAACACTAAAACATGCAGAACAATATGCTCTCTTATATAATGTAAATTTTAAAATACTTGATGAGCTGATAGATTTGAACTCTGATCAAGCAGAATCCTTTCATTCCCATTGTCTAACATGAATACGTATTATACTTAGATCCTCTTAATCCATTTGGTTATCTACCAAATCTTGATTTAACTATAGTTTCAACAGCTGTTTATGGCCTAATAACAATATTGTTAACTATTTTTTCAATCTATTATCGAACATGGTATTTTTTGGTTATGACTATTTCCGGTATTGCAGAAGTGGTTGGATATGCATATCGATGGTCGTTAGCCAAAGATCCTGATCAAAGAACACCGTATGTATTAATACTAAACGTTTAAAAAATTTCATTGGACTTATTTGGCCGTAACATCTTTGTGTATCGAGAACAGCAGATATTTTACTTCGATATCGATAAATACAGTAATTTCTTTAAACAAAAAAAAAAGTTCGAAGCTTCTGAAATAGTTCAAGTCACATGACTTTTAGAGAATCCCTAAAATATTATTTTTAAAAGATTACTCTTTTTTTTCTAAGCTATATCATCATGTACTGTTGCATTGTTTTGGCTCCAGTTGCTCTAGCCTTAGCTGACTATTTGTTGGTTGGCCGTCTCATTAGATTGGTTGGACGTCAATACTCAATAGTAAATCCGAAATTTGTCGAATTTGGATTCATTACTTCAGACATACTATCAATTAGTGTTCAATCAGCAGGTGCCGGATTAATAACAAGTGGAAAACTGAATAATATTACGACCGGTAGTCGAGTATTAATTGGAGGATTAGGTATTAATTTAGTTAGCTTTTGTTTTTTTGCTGTTGTGACACTTCATTTACATTGTTCGATTCAGCGACGTAAAGCTGATTTTACTGGACAAGAACGATGGATAAAAATGTTCTATGCATTGTATCTTAGTATGATTCTATTAATAATTCGTTCCACTTATCGTATCGTAGAATTTTCTATGGGTTTTCGAGGTTATCTTGCTATACATGAAATATATTTTTATATTTTTGAATGTTTACTTATTATATTTGCATTTGGTCTTTTCTTGCCACTACATCCTGGTATTTGGATGCCAATTGAAGATACAGATCAACTTATCAAAAAACCATGCAAAAATGTCGCTCCTATCGTAGAATAACAGTTACCTTTGTTAACAAATGCAAGCAATACGTGATAGTTTAAGAGAACTATGATAATGCTTGATTATCCGAATTTATATTTGATTTTTTTTTGTAAATAAAGATAAAAATGATATCCTAAAGTTGAAACTTTTATAATGCCTTCTCTTTATTCATTCTAGTTCATGATATCGTCATGGACAAAAGTTCCAGTACTGAAGAAAATCAAATTGACATTTATGTTTTAAAAGCTAAAGTTCCAAGAAATTAACTATATATTATAGACCTATGCATAATAGTAATAATAGTTTTCAGAAAACCATGAAATAATAAATTCCTATTTTCCAAGAAATTCAACTAAAATGACTATGAGAAAAATTTCACGAAAATTTAATTCAATACTTTTGAGAAATAGGTGCAATGATTTTAATATAAAATGAATATAGACATAAGTATATATCTTTGAGGATGAGTTGGATTAGGAAGAGTGTAGGCATAGTTGAAAGTGCAAAATTGATATATGTGGGCGAAAACAAAGGCTACACCTACACCAGTACTCTCATCTTGTTATCAACTTTATCTTTTTATGCTCAATTCCATATTTGTGAGCTATTTAATGTTTAATTTAACATGTATTTTAGATTTTGAGAGAGCAATGAAAACAAATACTTTATAGTTCTAGTTATCCATGCTAATATTCAATTTATGCAATGAAGTATATACGAATCGTCGCTAATTCCCCGCAGCAGTCAACATTGGGAGAGTGTCGTGGGATTTTGGCAAGGGAGAATGTCTTTCAACGAACCGAACAAAAAAAGAGAATTTCCGTTCTGCTAGAAAAAGATTTTAAAATTTTCTGCGATTAGAAGAAATGTAGCACCCTCCTTCGATCGAGCCACTACTATGAATACTTAAAAATTATAAGATGAATGACGTGACACAAACCAACATAATCGCAGATACATACACTTCATTTCAATATACTTTTAATAATAAAATGAATTTGCCAGCATAAGCCAGCGCGAAATAAGATGTTGCACCCCTTCAAAAGAATGTGTAAAAATGAATTATAGCTCATACATCATCGATATATTATCTGCACTGTTATAGCAATACTATTTACCTCATCTCATTCATTACATTATGATGTGTAGAAATTCGAATTTTTCAGAAATGAGAGTGTTCCATGACTCCCGACATTAATAATGATACTCTTTGTATTTCTATTAATCACAAGATCATTATTTTTTTCTTATTCCCAGGGCGAGCTTTCCGACGACTAGAAACGACTGTTCTACAAAAGTAGAAGATCCATAAATACCTTACAAATCGGGAAGTACTAGAAAAAAAGATCGTTTTGAGATCTTTCCGAGATCTTGGTAAGATCTTTTCTTCCCAGCCGTATTAAAGACTCAAGGTACCTTTAAAATAAGGTACCATTCAAAAAACATCTTCTCTTATTAAAATAGCTATTACAGCTCCAAAAATAGCTTAACAGTCAGGTACTATAAGAAAAATATATTTCAAGATTTCTCTTCATTAGAAGAGCTACGATAAACTGTAAAATACCAACAAAAAAGGTAACTTGTAGAAAAATATTCTAAGATATGTTACCGATAAAATAGATAATAAAATACCGAAAATGCCTTTAAAACAAGATACACTGTAAACGAAATCATCAATGAAAACATGTCAACCACCCGGAGCTTCGATGGATGAAGCAGCATGCGTTTGGTGGTTCCAAGCGAAATCAATAAGAACCGAAGGGACGACTGGTCATGTAATTCCAAGTGACATAACAGTGGGATATACAACTGGTGAAGGTTGTAATTTCTCGCGGATTTTCTTATCCTTGTGTGCATGCGCTATTTCGCGTCGCTTTCCCTCAGGCTTGTCATTGATAATAGGGTTTACGTTTATTTTTGATAAAACTTTTTTCACCCGTTCCTCCTTCCAACTAATACTGTTTCGTCGACCCCAAACCCCAACAGCGGCTATTATTTCTAAGGCCAATTTCATACTTCTCTCTTTCGAAAACACATCCTCCTGTACCTGAAAGCTGCTTCCGTGAAGCAGATTAAAAAGCGCTTGCAATTTTCCCTCGCACCCTACCTCTCCATGTGCCATATGACACTGCAATTTATCGTGCGACCCCAATGACCTGAACTATGTGGCATATTCAAATATATGTCGACCAGACGCACATGAAAAAATAGCCACGATATACATCACTTTCAATTACAAATACGCGTAAATAAGGGAAGTCCTGGAGAATAGCAATACATGTGCTATACGTACAATGTCGGATTATCAAATGTTCCACTGTGTAACGAGTTGACCATCCTATGCGTTCCACTGTGTTTATGAAGACTTCAAGACGTAGCGTTCGGTTTTGAAATCATAATATTCCTGGTGAAATAAGAGACCACATGTAGCTATTATCCCTCCATTTGTAGCTGACTGAAAGTGAGGTCAAATAATTGATGTTCATATTTTGGAGAAAATGTTCAAGTTCCTTGTCATTGGTATCATACAATATCATTGAACGAAGTCGAGAAAATTTGTTTATATCGAAGAAATTCGTAAATATAGAAATGAAACATCTACTGCGATAGAACTCCGAATAGAACGTCAGAGACAATTTTTCAGGTTGAATTAGACGAATAACTAATTTATAAGGAGAACATGCATCTAAACCAAGAATTAATGAAGATCGATTGTAAGTCTTTACGATGTTATAGGGTGTGTGTGTATGCCGACGTGTAGTTGTGAGTATTCTTTTTATCCACACTCCACACCCATCCACAACCCCCTTTTCTTCTTTCGACACACTTGAAATTATTTCATTTAGCTTTCTACTTTTATGGCAATATTTTCTTTTTGGGTAGTGAAAAGTTTTCTGTACTTCTTGCTGGTACGTATATAAAACTTGACACTATTTTATGGCACTATTGACTGTGTATGATATTTATCGTATGCACAGTCAGATGATATCTATTCACTTAAAGAAGGCTGAGCTTCTGTTAGAGTATATAATCTATCATTCAATGAATACACATAATTAGTGCAACGCATACGGCTCTTAATATATCAAGACCACATGGTAGTACGTTACGTGAGATTGCCACGTAAGTAATTCACAGACCGTGACACTATTTTCTACACTTTCTATATATCCTACATCTTTGTATTTTCCAGATCTTCGATGAAGTATCTAAGAACTTTAATGAATTTCCACGGAGTTTAACAGAAAGCATGTTGTTGTCCAAGGCATTCATGTATGAACTGAAGCTTTTCCCCACACTACAAAGCATCTCAGTGTGGATCTTAGTGTTTCTGCTCACTGTTCCAAATGCTGTATGACTGAAACTTTTCGTCTTCACGTTTTCAGTTTGATGAGCACCGCCAGGCACAGTTTTGACGTTTGTCTTTCGCAATACAGTCTAGCCTCGAACTTCTTATATGATATTTTTGCATATGAAATTGTTGCCTAGGAGATACTACCGCGCTGATACTTAACATTTTTTGATTTTTGAAAATGAGAGCTAGATCAGAAGTATGCACATAGAATGTGCATTAGAACGGAAACACATTCACAACATAAGCAAGAATTGTTCGAGTCCGATAGATTCTTATAGATCTGACTATATCTTGATAAAGTTAGTCAATTTAATAAGATAAGATATACGTATCTCTTAACAGACCTTACCGATAATTTTTTTTCACGAGAAAATATAAAAATTTCGCTGCTTCATGAACTCCATGTTATAGGATGAACAAATCTGAATAAGAAAAAGTAATGCAAATCAGAGGAGTCACTAATATTTACAAAATTTGAAAGAATTATTAGCTTAAGGGGCCCCCCCCCCCCTCAAAAATTGATCTCAGCCCCAGAAACTCCAAACCGGCCGATATTTGGAGGATATGGTGGG